TCGCGTACTTGTCCCTGCTGATCTTCCGCCACGCTGTCTTGCACACTTCCCCAGGCTGTATTTCGGTTGATGGGACTTGGGGAACATCATGGCAGAGACAATTCAGCATTTCCCACAAATCCTCAGTCGGATATGAATCCGGCGACTGCGTCGGCCGCCCCAGTGCGCGATATGGGCGGTCCACCAATTACGCCTTTATCGCGTGTGCGCGCGCAAATACGTCATCCAGACCGCGCAACACATCGACCATGGACGGCTGCATACTGTTCTGCAGTATTCCTTGGTATTGGTCTGCTTTCATCGCTCCGTTAACGTTGTAGAGCCACCCGACCCCGTTGCCGGCGACGAGGTCCCGTATCATGATGCAGCCACCACTATGCTTGACTGTGCCAACAGTACACTCTGGCACAAGTTGTTCACCTGGTCAACAACTGAAATACATCACACCATCTGATGCTCTCATATTAAATTTAAACTCGTGGGGCCACAGTACGTTGCTCCACTGGTCCACAGTACATCCTTGGTGGGCCCTGGCAAAGACCAGTTGTTTCTTCAATTTTCTGGTTGATATACGGTTTTTTTGTGGTCCTGCAGCCTCTCAGGCCAGCTTTCAGCAGTCTGGGACGTTCCGTACGGCTCGGGACATGTTTGCCACGGTTTTGCACCAGTCTGTCTTGAGCTCCCACGACAAAGTCCTTCTGCTAGCCAGAGTTATCACCTTGAGGCACCTGTCGTCACGAGCAGACGTCAGCCTTGGATGACCAGAACGAGGCTAATTCTTGCAGCTTTGCATCACTGCGAACCTGGTGACAGTTTTCTCACCGTGCGCGCACAAACGCGGGTCAAATTGGCGATATCATTCGAAGAGAGGCCATCATTATTCATCTTCACTGTCAACTCCCTCACGTCAGAGCCAAAGGTGCTTGGATCGACCCATGGTGAAGGAAAAATGTCAAAAACAGCAACTAAAATTTGTTGTTCGTGTCGTGAGGACCACCACGTGTTGTGCAGTTGAATTTCCCGCTGGTTTTGCATCACACATTTTTGTACCGTACGGTACCGTACAAATTCAAATATTTTGGCCAAAAATTTGGGCCTAGCTTTTTCATGATTTTCACCTGAAAATTTGTTTTGAAGCGCACGTGCGCTGTAGAAAACTTATCTCACGCGTTTTCATCGGGCTTGCAGCAGGTTTGAAGATATACAACCTGGCAGCACCACTGTATTGTGCCAAACCCCAAAAATTTATAGGTAGGCCCAAACTTCTGGCCAACACTGTACATCTACATTACATACCGTATTTCCGCAAATAAAAGGCCGTCCTTGTATACAACGCCTTCCTCGTTTACAAGGCCGGGGCAGGGGGCGATTGAAAAAATAAAAGACCGTCTCCGATTAGAAGACCGGGCCTACTAAATGAGTCTTTGTTCTTGTGTTAAAAATGGAAGACTGTGCTCAAACTGTGGAAAAAAATAGAAGACCGTGCTCAAACTGTGTAGAAGAAAATGGAAGAACGGGGGTAAAACTGTGTGGCGAGAAATAGAAGACCGGGGTCAAACTGGGTTGAAAGAATAAAAGACCGTCCTCGAATACAAGACCGTCCTCGATTATAAGGCCGGGTTAGGGCGAGGTTGAAAAAATAGTAGACCGGCCTACTATTTGTGGAAATACGGTACATGTACACATCCATGGACAATGTACACGTAAGAGTATTATGCTTTTTTATATTCCTTTCTGGCATTCCTGCAGTCTGTATATATCCCAATGGTCTTCATTCCAGATCGTGTTAACTTGATTTTAGTCATTCAATCGTTCTACAACATTACTGTAGGCTAAAACAAGAATAAAACAGTAGTTGCTATGGTGTTGCTATGCAGTTGCCATGGTTACCATGCACTAAACTTCAACGGCTAATTTCAGCACCTTCCATCACGTTTCGAGGGTCAAAAAATATATCGTTGAGCTCCTTGTGGTCCCCTCTACACGTTGAAACTCTCAAAAAGTTGTGCGCTCTCAACTGCAACGAAAGTAAATATTTTGGGCACCTGGCCCCCGTACTAGTACGGGGGCCAGGGCTGAAAAAAGTCCTTCAAAAAAAGTTTCGTTCCGAATTTTAGCGCACAACAATTTGACACCACAGAGTCATAGCGGGGGCAATACAGACATGAAACCAAAAAAAACCGCTTCGAAAAGTGAATGGAAGGTCCCGAACGAGGTGATTTTGTCCTCCACTCGGCCAGTACGTGCGGTATGCCCTGGAAGTCGTAAAATAATGACTTGCCAAGACAGATGAGACTTCCCTACACAACCCCAGTGCAGGCCCGCTGCACAAAACTTCAGTCCTGGTATTGTTGACACGCAGGTGATGGTTTCGGCACCACGAAGGGCCCGGGCAACAATTTCGAAAGTGGAGTAGGATGTGGTATGTTGACTGGGTTAACTCTCTCTCTCCTCCGATCGACTTCCGAGTCAGTCCTCTATTGTTGACACGCACGTAGCGGTTTCGGCACTACGAAGGGGCTGCACCTCTAGCACCAACAATGTGAGTTTCACGACGGTAATCTGGCGCCATCATTGAGGTGCCGGGATGTCGGAGGGCAACTCGGCAAAGCGTCTCTGCTCCCGTCGTCGAGTCAGGAAGGAAAGATAGCATTTTTCTGTCGAAAGTTGTTGCTTGGAAAGAAGCACAAGTACCAAAAGACATCTCAGTGCCAATCTCTCAACGCAGCCCAGAAAGTGCTCGATGCAGCTGAGGTAAGAGAGGTCAACGCAATTCCCTTTCATGCCCGATTGCTCGAGAGGTAGATCTACATTGCCATCGTGACTGTTTCTGCCACTACACGCGAGTTTTGGAAGACAAAAATGACATCGATTTATCGGACAGTACAGGTGGAGAGGCGCAAGTGTTGGCTAGCTTCCTTGCAGTAGTCCACAAGAAAGACTTGCGGCACAGGAAAAGAAGTTCCTGGATCCCATTCCAAAATTGAAGCTCGGAACATTCTCAAACAGAAAGTCACGAACGCCAACCAGCCAGAGCAAAGCAGTATCTGTATTGCGTGCCGACTGCGCTCTTTTCAGCAAGATGGCTGTTATTGCCCAGAGTCGCCATATGGATGTTCGTCAAATTCTCTCGTACCCATTGGGCGGATCAGCACCGTTATCTCTCTGTACCTCAGATGGCACACTAGTGAAAACTAACAAGTCTGCACTGCTCCAGTTGCTCGTGAAGGTTTCTGATGGTGTACGTCCACCCGGAAATACTCCATCTGAGTCAAGTGCTCTCATTGTTGATGCTATGGCTATGTTGCAAGCCATGAGCCAGAAATCACTACCTGCTACCTTCTCTGACCTTGCATATCACATCTTCATTCACTGCTCACCAAGGCTGGAAACTAGTGGATGGCAAGCTCCAGGTTGACTGGTTGTCCCTGGAGCCTGCTCCCACAGCCCTAATGGAGTTTGTTAAATACTGCTCCATCTGATATCCGCACTGCTGCATCGCCATCCCTATTTCGCCATGCATTACTTTCATTCTTAGGGTACTCCGTAAGAAGACCTTGAGTCTGTGGGGACTGCCCTATGAAAATATGAATAAAATTAATAATAAAACAAAGGACGAAACAGTTCTGTCCGCAGATTGAGTAATAATAATAATAATAGTAATAAATGCGGCTGCAAAACAGGCTGTGACGGAGGCCGCTGCTCCTGCAAAGCACAGTCTTTGCATTTGTTAAATACTGCTCCATCTGATATCCGCACTGCTGCATCGCCATCCCTATTTCGCCATGCATTACTTTCATTCTTAGGGTACTCCGTAAGAAGACCTTGAGTCTGTGGGGACTGCCCTATGAAAATATGAATAAAATTAATAATAAAACAAAGGACGAAACAGTTCTGTCCGCAGATTGAGTAATAATAATAATAATAATAGTAATAAATGCGGCTGCAAAACAGGCTGTGACGGAGGCCGCTGCTCCTGCAAAGCACAGTCTTTGCATTGTACTGATGTTTGTGGATGCAGCGCTGCAGATAGCTGCCAGAACAGGGCCAGTGATCTGGGCAACTAACTGCCACTATAGCATGAGATTGAGTTTCAATTACGTACATCTACATTACATACCGTATTTCCGCAAATAAAAGGCCGTCCTTGTATACAACGCCTTCCTCGTTTACAAGGCCGGGGCAGGGGGCGATTGAAAAAATAAAAGACCGTCTCCGATTAGAAGACCGGGCCTACTAAATGAGTCTTTGTTCTTGTGTTAAAAATGGAAGACTGTGCTCAAACTGTGGAAAAAAATAGAAGACCGTGCTCAAACTGTGTAGAAGAAAATGGAAGAACGGGGGTAAAACTGTGTGGCGAGAAATAGAAGACCGGGGTCAAACTGGGTTGAAAGAATAAAAGACCGTCCTCGAATACAAGACCGTCCTCGATTATAAGGCCGGGTTAGGGCGAGGTTGAAAAAATAGTAGACCGGCCTACTATTTGTGGAAATACGGTACATGTACACATCCATGGACAATGTACACGTAAGAGTATTATGCTTTTTTATATTCCTTTCTGGCATTCCTGCAGTCTGTATATATCCCAATGGTCTTCATTCCAGATCGTGTTAACTTGATTTTAGTCATTCAATCGTTCTACAACATTACTGTAGGCTAAAACAAGAATAAAACAGTAGTTGCTATGGTGTTGCTATGCAGTTGCCATGGTTACCATGCACTAAACTTCAACGGCTAATTTCAGCACCTTCCATCACGTTTCGAGGGTCAAAAAATATATCGTTGAGCTCCTTGTGGTCCCCTCTACACGTTGAAACTCTCAAAAAGTTGTGCGCTCTCAACTGCAACGAAAGTAAATATTTTGGGCACCTGGCCCCCGTACTAGTATACGCGTAGTAGATCTACGGTCTTGCGAGAGAGACTGCACTGGTAGATCTGTAGATCTCTACGTAGGCCACAGGCACAGGGTCGTGCATCTATTCGCTGTTTCCTTGCAATAAAGTCAGTACTAGTACTCTCATCCTAGCTCTGGGCGTCGTCAAGGTCCTATTGGCTATTGACGTATGTAGTGGAATCATGTAGATGCTTCATTCCCAAGTCCTCATCACTCACCAAGACTGGACCAATTGACTGAATAGTTTCTGTGCTGAACATCTCTCTCCAGCTATATCGCACAGGTGAGAAAGAAAAACTGGTACTTCAAGTAGTTGCCACTGCACACCATTTTTTCATTGAAATCTGGCCGTGACTGGACTGTTTGGCTAAGAAGCTCAGCTGCGCTTCCGCATACATGTACTAACATTTAAAATTTACTGTCCAGGTCTGAACGACTGAGTGTGTTTCAGCGATTATCTAAAGGGGATGGTGAACATTTTAAATTTCAGGGTCCGCGTATAGTTTGGGGCGCGGAGTCGAGTGGTCTTTGTCCGAGGAGGCTGCGGTCCATGGTTCGTTAGATATGCCCAATCGAACATTAGTACAGGATCCGAAGCTCAAAAATAAAATTGGGTCTGCCACTTCACTCCGAGTATTTGCCGCTTTCAGAGCTGATAGGTGATGGTTATAGAAGGTCAATTTTGTTTGTTGGCCCTTCTGAATCGGGGAAGGAGACGAGCGGCGAGAGGGTTTTCGTCGACGATTTCGCAAGCCTTCTCAAGCGTTCTCAAGGAGGTCGCAAATTTATTTTCGCCGTGCGTCCGTACGCGCATGGCTTGAGCATGCACACATTGCGCACCCACGACAAACATTTGAAAAATTTAGGAAATGACGACGCCGTAGAAAATGACGACGCTGGCCGGGGAACTTATTTTGAGGAAGCACGAGGTCTTTCAATTTCAATCCCACGCGAGTAGGCATGGAGGAAGACGAGAATTGTGCCTCCTGTGCACAAAGTCCAGGTAGTGTTGGGCATTTAGTGGCTTCAGCCAGTACTCAGGTTTCGGAAATTTCGTGGGGCTCATGTTTGTGCCACTGTGTGAAGATCGAAGGAAGCGAAAAGGAGGAGAAAGTAAATTTCACGAACACCAGCTGGTCTCGAGTGGTATCTGCTGCCAAAATTCGCCAGGACGGCACATGGGCCTTTCTCTGCCAGGAGCAGTGTAGCACGGATGAGAGCACCCCGCGTGGCTGGTACCATAGGCGCTGCTATGCAGCCTACACCCACAAGAAGACTCTGAGTCGTTTTGAGGGAGAGGAGAGTGGTGGCCTTGCCAGCAATGTTGACGCAGAGGAGGTGGGTGACGCAGATGCCTGTGAGGATGAACCTCCCAAGAAGCGTGTTATGACACGAAGCAAAGTGACAACCATCGACATCACTCTGTGTATAATATGTCAACAAAAAACAAAACAAAAGAACCGGAAAGCTGAACCGCTTACCCTCTGTTCAGAATTCCGTGCTGGCGAAAGCCTGATCCGTGCGGCAAATGCACGTGGAGATGAAGCAGGCCAGCGGATTTTACTTACCCTCCAGGAGGGCAGTCCCGATTGTGTAGCATCGGACATATGCTACCATTTCTGCTGCTACCGTAACTACACTCATTCTAGCACGGTGGCAGCACTGGAGGCAAAGAAGACGACGGCAGTTGCAGACGACAATGTGTACGATAGAGCCTTTGAGTGGCTGGCTGTATGCATGGAGAAGGAGCTCTTCAGTGAGACAGAAATACGAGCGATGCGTATGGACAGCCTGACGTCCAAGTACAGCGCCAAGCTGGCAGAGCTCGGAGCTGCAAGTCAATACCGACGATGGCTGCTGAAGAAGCGCCTGTTGGAGCATTTTGGAAAACGCATCAACTTCGTCCGTCCTGGTCCATTGTCACCCGAGAGCGTTGTAAGCAGCTCCTTGACAGAATCACAACTGCTACAAGTAGTTGGTGCAGCAGTAGCCAAGGCTGAGGCAGCCCAGCAGTGCGCCGACGAATATGCTGGAGATGATATGGCGGATGAAGATGCACCTCCAGCTATTGATAGCAGCTGCAAGGTACATGCCTTCCACACAGCCATGGCTCTGAACAACGCCATCCGTGATCAGCAGCCCACAATACCCACCATGCCACATGCCAGTGATATCGTAAATGAGAATGCGCCAGTGCCAGACATCCTCTACAATGTGCTTGCCATGACCATTGTCGGCCCTGAGAAGTGTGACATTGGTGACCTGACGGACTCCCGTGTCCATGTCCCTGCCGACATCCATTGCAAGATTTTGGCAATTGCTGAGGATATTGTGTATGTTGCAACTCGTGGATCTATTCTGACACCAAAGCACGTAGCTTTGGCGCTTACTGTCCACCACCACACGAGGAGCAAGCACATGGTGGATCTTCTCAACCAGTTCGGCCATGGCATATCGTATTCAAAGCTGCGAGAAGTAGAAACCGGGTATTCTCTCGAAGTAGCAGGAAGTTCCGCAGCCAGCAGTGTTGTAGTACCCCGTGGCATTTCCCAGCATGGAGGTGATGTTCATTTCTGCTGGGACAATAACGACCTCAACGAGGAAACTCTGAGTGGCCAAGGGACGACACACTGCACCAACGGCATTGTGCTCCAGCACTCGCTGCCCTTCCAGGACGATCTGTGTCCACCAGAAAGTACGAGCCGTGCCGAGCCAGGTAACCAACGCCGACCGCGAAGTGTTGCCCCACCTGCAGTTCCGAGCCTAGAATACAACTGCGGTGCGAGACCAAGACCTCCTCCAATGGCCCATCCAGTTCCTGATGCACAAGGCTCGATTGACCCATTTCTCACTGTGGCATCGATTGACCTGATTTGGTTCTTGTTGCGCGCAGACCAGACGGTATCACCGAAGTTTGGTAGACCTGGGTGTGACAGTGTCAGTTCCTTTTCTGGGAAGGGAAAGACTGCTCCGCTGAAGCTGCTCCTGTCAAGCACGCGAATGGCAGAGGCACTGGCGACACTGGGTGTCAATGCTACATCGGATGACCAGCTGCTTTCTGAATGTGAGTGGTTTGCGTGTGCCTTGTATGGCAATCCTGGCCAGCAAGACATCAACAGCCTGCGCTACCAAAGGTTCTGTGCGGCCACATCCTGTGCTCCGCACAAACTACCGCCCTCACGCGACGCTCTCCATCAACATGTGGCCAGGGCTAACTACCAGGCCCACATTTGGCGGAGCGCCACCACTGCGATGCCAGAAGTACCGAGTCCAGTGGGCCATGGCTGGCAGTCGGAGACTGACGGCACGCCTTCCATCTCCTGGATGCTGCAGCGCGTCGCTCCTGCTGACATACTAAAACTGGTGAGCTGTGGGTGCAAGACAAGGCACTGCGTAAGTCAGCACTGTTCGTGCAAGAAGGCGTCCTTGGCTTGCACGGACATCTGCTCGTGCTGCTCATGCGCCAATCCGTTTGGGGCCGTACTCGAACAGAACGACAGCTCCGGTGCCGCAGATGTGGGAACAGCTGCATGTGAAGGCGACCAAAACAGTGAGAGCGAGGAAAGTACTGGTGCTGACGACTTTGAAGAGTCTGACTCCAGCTCAGATTCTGATGAGGATCCAGATCAGGAGTTTGACGACTCGCTGTAGACACTGGCAACTGCACCGTCCTCCCCTGGTCCAAGCCACCCATTGTGTTTGTGAATTATGGCTGTCAACACACCTAACCTGTTCACACATTGTATATAAACTGCTTGTACATAGCTTGGCTTCTAAAGTGATGACGCTATCATCCTACATTTTGTTCCAATTTACATATTAAACTGGGCATATTGTCCATGAATTGCACAGCACTGGACAGCACTGGACATGTCTTCCTTACTACAGTTGTAGTATTTATTTCATTTTCGATTGTGTTGTGTCTACAATGCGTTTATATCATTTCTAGTCTTCTCTAACTCTAATTTAATCGAGTGCTATTGAAGGTGTGTGTGCCTGAGAGAGAAGCAGGGAAAGGGTCCAAGCTTACCTTTGCAGAATGATAGGTAAGGTGTCCCTCGTATCGATCGTATCAACGAAATTCCAATCAAGAAAACATTTGAGATCACTCGCGAAGCAGCGTCAAACTACACGACACTACGGGTAGTTTGTTGGCTGCCATTGCGAGTGGGTAGTGGAAGGACCAAACGATATCTAGGCTAGGCTTACGAAGTCCCTGTGCTTTACTTCTACAAGAGCGAGAGTAAACTTCTTGACCAAGAATATGATCAACAACAAAGTGAAGTCGCCGACCAGATCAGACACTCGCTTTGAGTTTTCAAATTTGACTGCATTTGGTTGTCATGTGCGTACTCTACGCAACTCAGAATCGGCCCGAGACGAAAGGTGAGCAGTTCAAGTGACCGACGAAGCTGAACTAAAATTGCCTCTCGCGGAGCTCCTTCCCCGATCTAGACGGGCCAACAACTACCATTCGACTCCACAACAGGTACTCTCTCCACCTGTACAGTTCGATTTTACTCGGATTCTAGTGGCAGACCACTTTCAGATTTAGACACTTTTTTTTGTCCTGGATCCCCGACTACATGTGCGAATTTGAGCGCACAGTCATCCGGATCCAGGTGATGACGTCACAGAGTGCAGCCAGGTAGCCACACCATCTATTTCGTGTACACAATGGCCATTGTTCGGAACGCGTTCGATTGGGGAACTGTTTGTCGCAGCGTCTTCAGACCAAGACCATTGGACTCAGTGTTACAAACACTATGTACCCTGTGTATGTGGCTTTCAGCTTGGCAAATCTTGAGGTTATCCCGTCTTTTAGCCGTTTCCGAGTTGGACTTTTCCGGCCGCGCTGGCCTTTGCGTGCTTGCTAGCTGCACTGTAGACGTGTTGTCAGCAAAGTCATCACACACGGAACGTGACTGCTCCCGCACTGCCGTGCTACGTTAGTCGTGAGGTAGATCAACAAGAGTCGAGTATAGAGACCAGTCAAGAAACGGACTTGTCATGTACTACACTCGTATCAGTCGTATGTACAGTCAGGGAAGGTGCGTTTCTCCTTTACCGGTGGTTGTGCTTTGAGAAAGATTTTTTAGTTTTCCGCATGGAATAGCCCAGATTCCTTTATGCTACAACGATGAGTTCACAACCGTGACAAGTGACGAAACAATAAACAGCTCGTGCCCGTGGTTCAAAGAGTTTGCACTGTTCTCCAATCGAGCAGCGTCCGAAATTCCGTAAAAGTCCGTAAATAAGTACCTGCCCGAAAGAAATACCCCTTCATTCTTTTGGCTCTGTCTGTTGAAGTCAAGTCCAGCCCGATAAACATACTGCCCGAAATAAGTACCGGTACGGTGCGCACATGCAGCACGTAGCATGTACATCGACATGAAAATGACTTCTCCACTACACACAAGTCAGGTCCGAAAGTTAGTTCGTGCCCGAAAGTCAGTACCCACCCGAAAGTTAGTACGGGTGTGGTCACTAAATTCAAAAGTAAATACGTACTTATTTACGGATTTTTACGGTATGCCAAATTCACACCAAAAAAACCGGCAGTATATGGGAACGATGAGGCAGGCCACTGGAGTCGGTATTGAACAACATTTAGAGCACTCGCATCACTCTTCTCCATTTTGATGACTCTGCTCTCCAGAGATCTGATAATTGTATCAGCATCATCTGCAATAGCTGCTGCTTTGTCATCCGTCGCAAACGCGACACTCTTGACCGGCCTGTGTGGCCATATCTTGAAATTTTCTTCAGCAGAATACCGAAGTTCTCAGCCCCAGACCAAACTCATGAAGGTCAGCCGTGGCTGCATCCTCACTCTCACATGGAGTCACATCTTCGGGGTCGCTTGGACCAACTACTATCGGTCGCCGAATCATTTGAGATAGCATTGACACTAGTATTGCGTTGAAGCGCTTCTTTTGACCTAGCTGCACGCTATGACGTTGCAGAGGCCGCATGACGCGGCCGCATAATGACATGGCGCACCCCCCCCCCCCTCCGAAGCTCAGTTTTTCAAACGGAAATATCTCAAGAACGCTTTGTTGGAGACACATGGGACCAACACCATTCGACTCAGCGCCCCAAAGTCTACGGACCCTGAAATTTAAAATTTTCACCGGACCCCCCCCCCCCCAAAATCAAATTTCCACCAGTTGTAGTCTTCGGTTGCTGAGTCGAATGGTCTTGGTCCGAGGAAGTTGAGACGCTCCCTTCCCCCTATATTCCCAATCAAACTCGCCACTTCCACCGAAACTGGGTGACTGCGCCCTACTAGTTGGGGATTTGTATGCAAAATGTCACTAAAAGCGCCATTTCGTTCTTATAAAAGCACGGATGACCGCGGTTGGCCCATATGTTATAGTCTTTTGGACGCTGAGTCGACTGGTTTTGGTCGTACACCAGTCGGCAGTCGCCTGGTCACAGTGCCTGCAGGCTGCAAGGTTCAACTCTAGTGAATGACAGGAACGAGCCCAAACAGGCTGTAAGTTGACGGTGGCCATGTGACAGATGTACACATGAGCACGTGACCGTTTACTCAACCGTGTTGGATGGGGAATAAGGGCCGAACGCTGCATCTCTGCATTTTCGGACCAAAACCAAAAGACCTGTAACGCTTGTACAGTAGATTATAAACATACTGTAGTGTGTACCCGGGGTGTCTTCCAGCAGACTTACGTCGCGTGTCTTCCAGCAGACTTACGTCGGGTGTCTTCCAGCAGACTTACGTCGGGTGTCTTCCAGCAGACTTACGTCGGGTGTCTTCCAGCAGAGTTACATCGGGTGTCTTCCAGCAGACTTACGTCGGGTGTCTTCCAGCAGACTTACGTCGGGTGTCTTCCAGCAGACTTACGTCGGGTGTCTTCCAGCAGACTTACGTCGGGTGTCTTCCAGCAGACTTACGTCAGGTGTCTTCCAGCAGACTTACGTCGGGTGTCTTCCAGCAGACTTACGTCGGGTGTCTTCCAGCAGACTTACGTCGGGTGTCTTCCAGCAGACTTACGTCGGGTGTCTTCCAGCAGACTTACGTCGGGTGTCTTCCAGCAGACTTACGTCGGGTGTCTTCCAGCAGAGTTACGTCGGGTGTCTTCCAGCAGACTTACGTCGGGTGTCTTCCAGCAGACTTACGTCGGGTGTCTTCCAGCAGAGTTACGTCGGGTGTCTTCCAGCAGACTTACGTCGGGTGTCTTCCAGCAGACTTACGTCGGGTGTCTTCCAGCAGACTTACGTCGGGTGTCTTCCAGCAGACTTACGTCGGGTGTCTTCCAGCAGACTTACGTCGGGTGTCTTCCAGCAGACTTACGTCGGGTGTCTTCCAGCAGACTTACGTCGGGTGTCTTCCAGCAGACTTACGTCGGGTGTCTTCCAGCAGACTTACGTCGGGTGTCTTCCAGCAGACTTACGTCGGGTGTCTTCCAGCAGACTTACGCCGGGTGTCTTCCAGCAGACTTACGTCGGGTGTCTTCCAGCAGACTTACGTCGGGTGTCTTCCAGCAGACTTACGTCGGGTGTCTTCCAGCAGACTTACGTCGGGTGTCTTCCAGCAGACTTACGTCGGGTGTCTTCCAGCAGACTTACGTCGGGTGTCTTCCAGCAGACTTACGTCGGGTGTCTTCCAGCAGACTTACGTCGGGTGTCTTCCAGCAGACTTACGTCGGGTGTCTTCCAGCAGACTTACGTCGGGTGTCTTCCAGCAGACTTACGTCGGGAGTCTTCCAGCAGACTTACGTCGGGTGTCTTCCAGCAGACTTACGTCGGGTGTCTTCCAGCAGACTTACGTCGGGTGTCTTCCAGCAGAGTTACGTCGGGTGTCTTCCAGCAGACTTACGTCGGGTGTCTTCCAGCAGACTTACGTCGGGTGTCTTCCAGCAGACTTACGTCGGGTGTCTTCCAGCAGACTTACGTCGGGTGTCTTCCAGCAGACTTACGTCGGGTGTCTTCCAGCAGACTTACGTCGGGTGTCTTCCAGCAGACTTACGTCGGGTGTCTTCCAGCAGACTTACGTCGGGTGTCTTCCAGCAGACTTACGTCGGGTGTCTTCCAGCAGACTTACGTCGGGTGTCTTCCAGCAGACTTACGTCGGGTGTCTTCCAGCAGACTTACGTCGGGTGTCTTCCAGCAGACTTACGTCGGGTGTCTTCCAGCAGACTTACGTCGGGTGTCTTCCAGCAGACTTACGTCGGGTGTCTTCCAGCAGAGTTACGTCGGGTGTCTTCCAGCAGAGTTACGTCGGGTGTCTTCCAGCAGACTTACGTCGGGTGTCTTCCAGCAGACTTACGTCGGGTGTCTTCCAGCAGACTTACGTCGGGTGTCTTCCAGCAGACTTACGTCGGGTGTCTTCCAGCAGACTTACGTCGGGTGTCTTCCAGCAGACTTACGTCGGGTGTCTTCCAGCAGACTTACGTCGGGTGTCTTCCAGCAGACTTACGTCGGGTGTCTTCCAGCAGACTTACGTCGGGTGTCTTCCAGCAGAGTTACGTCGGGTGTCTTCCAGCAGAGTTACGTCGGGTGTCTTCCAGCAGACTTACGTCGGGTGTCTTCCAGCAGACTTACGTCGGGTGTCTTCCAGCAGACTTACGTCGGGTGTCTTCCAGCAGACTTACGTCGGGTGTTTTCCAGCAGAGTTACGTCGGGTGTCTAGAGTTACGTCGGGTGTCTTCCAGCAGAGTTACGTCGGGTGTCTTCCAGCAGACTTACGTCGGGTGTCTTCCAGCAGACTTACGTCGGGTGTCTTCCAGCAGACTTACGTCGGGTGTCTTCCAGCAGACTTACGTCGGGTGTCTTCCAGCAGACTTACGTCGGGTGTCTTCCAGCAGACTTACGTCGGGTGTCTTCCAGCAGACTTACGTCGGGTGTCTTCCAGCAGACTTACGTCGGGTGTCTTCCAGCAGACTTACGTCGGGTGTCTTCCAGCAGAGTTACGTCGGGTGTCTTCCAGCAGACTTACGTCGGGTGTCTTCCAGCAGAGTTACGTCGGGTGTCTTCCAGCAGACTTACGTCGGGTGTCTTCCAGCAGACTTACGTCGGGTGTCTTCCAGCAGACTTACGTCGGGTGTCTTCCAGCAGACTTACGTCGGGTGTCTTCCAGCAGACTTACGTCGGGTGTTTTCCAGCAGACTTACGTCGGGTGTCTTCCAGCAGACTTACGTCGGGTGTCTTCCAGCAGACTTACGTCGGGTGTCTTCCAGCAGACTTACGTCGGGTGTCTTCCAGCAGACTTACGTCGGGTGTCTTCCAGCAGACTTACGTCGGATGTCTTCCAGCAGACTTACGTCGGGTGTCTTCCAGCAGACTTACGTCGGGTGTCTTCCAGCAGACTTACGTCGGGTGTCTTCCAGCAGACTTACGGAGCTGCGAGTTTGAATCAACTCGCCTAAAAATAGGAGAATCTTTCAATCATTCGCCTCCCGGCTCCCACCCGAAGGCTGTAAGGGCCCCGGTCTGGTATGCAGCTGAGAGTGGCGGAACCGCTCTAGCGATAGTGCCGAAATGATATCATAAGTTACACTTCTGTGGACACTCAAATCTGTTGCCCCCCCCCTCCCTCTCAATTTTCTACAGCGATACATAATACTTCCGCGACTCTGTTTCAGCACACAATGTGTGATCTACAGTGTACGCTGTACAAGGAGTGATGTTGATTTGATGCTGTCTATTGAGTTGTGCTGACCAGTCACTGTACTGTTTTGTTTTGTGCTATTGTTATGTGCTGTAGGAGGTGGTGGAGATCAGTCTTGCTGAAGAGAATACACCAGCACAGCATGTTTGCTTCAAAGTTACGTGGCAATCTCAAGAGTGTCGGTTACTTTGTTCAGCGTGGCTATGGTGTGAGCACAGTAGCCTCGTCAAAACTCAATGTTACTGGCAAGTTGATATCCACTCAGGCATCACCACACTCCATTCCAGGTGTGAGGTATCAGTCAATTCGGCCTGGCAGTCATGCCACCACTGTACGAGATGCCTATAACGCAATTGAGTCAATCTTCGATAGAATTAACAAGACACGCACATTTCAAGCTATTGATTTGATATCTCAATGTGCTCTGATTCAACGGCATGTAACTGAAATACGGAGTCCAAACAAGGTTAGGAGTATCCTGTGGGCTTGTGCTCTGATCACGGAGGAGAACACTGACGTGACCAAGCTGGCAGTATCTGCACTTAATCAACTAGCCAGTCTACCCACTGATGTCTGGCGAGACTACAAGAATCAAGAGCACCTGAGATGGGTACTGCACTGGGCAGCAAAGTGTCGCTGTACAAGTCCAGATTTCAGGAAGTTAATTCAGCAGCAGTTTGATGTCCTGTGCCTTGATCAATGCAGAGATATTGACCATTGTGGCCATGCACTGTTCATGTTGAATTCACCCGACCGTTGCCTGGCGCAAAACTTGCTGAATCGCTTTTTGACCATACACAGTACAGGTGATCCAAAGTATCGTCATACTCAAGTACTCTCACTACTTCTCTACTGTACACTGTGTGGTGTAGAGTGCAGTGCCTTGCTGAAGCTGATCAGTGTTGATCAACTGATACAGAGTAAGTCTATTCTCTGAGTAATGTTTGTTGCATAGAGACTGTAGTGTTTGTTGTTGGTTGTGGTGTTTCTAAACACATGTAACTGCCGTGAAAGAACACTGCAATACGAATACACAGAGATACTCTTTTATTTCTCACCTCACTGTTCAAGTACATAGCTATATCTTTGATTTAAAAATATGGTGTCTATGGTTCAAGCTACACTGTATCCAGTACAGACATGTGTGCTTTCACTTGCGTGTCATAGAAATGTTTGATCCATAGTCATGACCACTGACGGGATGGGGGGGGGGGGGGGTAAATAGGTATTATTTGATGGATTTCAGAGACTAAAAGCCTCTTGTGTACTTTGGCTTGGTGTTTTAGTAAGTTGATGTGAGAGTCACTGATGATCGTTTTCAGATGTCACCTTTCTGTTCATAGTCATGTCGCTACAAGTCAATCTAATAATATAATAGTGGTGTCCATATGGTGGTCTGTATCTGTCTGTTTGTGTTTGTGTATGTATGTGTGTGTGTGTGTAAAAGACCAACAAGTAGGAATTCACTGGTCGGAAAAAGCCACTTCATAGCTGTGTGGTGTAGACTGTTGTATTATGATGTAATGCATTACGTAGCCATGCAAGAGCATGCGCGAGATACGCATCTCGCAGCTGCCTACTTTCATGCAGCATCCTTTAGATGTCGTGGTTCTTATGATTTGCCTACAATGGCCAAGTGAGAATTATAATCCTATCGTAAACAACTAACTTGTTTACCCCGAAACATGGTGTCAGAAGTAAACTAAATAAACGCCCTAGAATTGTCGCAGTAGCGCCACCGGTGCAAGAGGTAAAATGGCAGAAGCAGCCGGATTTACCCCGCCGTCGATGGATTGGCAAGCCGCAGATTTATCTGATGAATTCGAGCGGTTCCAACAATACTGCCTTCTAGTTTTCCAAGGGCCCTTTTCCGACAAGTCCGACAAGGAAAAGGTCGCCTATGTCATGCTATGGATCGGGAGAACTGGTGTTGATGCTTTCAATAGTTTCGAGTGGGATAATGCAAGCGACAAATCCAAAGTAGCTGCCGTCTTCAAGAAATTTAATAAGCATTTGCAGCCACGGGTAAATCCACGACTGGCTCGGTTTGAGCTTCAGAAATACCGCCAGCAACCCGACGAGTCTGTAGATGATTTCTTTGCGAGGTGTAAGAAGAAGACGTCCAAGTGCAAGTTCAGGGACGCTCAGGAGACTAACGATCGCCTGATAGAACAGCTAATCGTGGGGACGAAGCACTCGAAAGTGCAAGAACGCCTGCTGGAGGGTGGTAGTGATTTGACTCTGGACGAAGCGCTTGACAAAGCCCGTACTTATGAAGCAACACAGCGCCACATGGAGCAGCTGTCCACCGCCACCAGCAGCAGCCGTCTACCTGAAACGGTTCACTCCATTTCCAAATCTGTGGGACACGCAGACTGCGGCAAATGTGGACGAACCCACCACCCAAGCAAGTGCCCAGCGCACGGCTCCACCTGCAACAAATGCGGGAAGGCGAATCACTGGGCAAACGTATGCCGTTCGCAGGGGAGAGACGAGGCACATGGAAGGGGCCAGCAACGCGGACGCTGGCGCCAGAGGAGCCCCAGCCCGCGGGAGCGCTACCCCCAGAGGAGCCCCAGCCCACGGAGACGCTTCGACGCACTGCATTTCGACGCCGTCATCATCGACAGCGTCGAGCGTCACCAACCGCCACTAGAGCGAGAGGTGTTCGCGACCCTCAATGTCAGCCTGGACAACACCAACAGACCGGCCACCTTGAGAGCCAAGGTGGATACGGGCGCCCAGGGCAATATATTGCCGCTGAGAGTGTTCTGCCAAATGTTTCCCCAGCACGTCGGACCAAACGGATACCCAAAGCCGAAGTCCGTGAAGCCGTCAAGTACCACCCTCACAGCGTACGGCGGATCCAAGATAAAGCAATGCGGAACCCGTCCTATTCCGTGCTCTTACGATGGCAAGAGTCAACTCGCTGACTTCTACATCACGGACTGCCCTGGCACTGCTATCATCGGCCTCCCGACAGCGACAGCCCTGCAGTTAGTCACGCTGAACTGCGCTGTCCAGGAGAAGTCAGCGAGCATCCGAGACAAGGACGACCTGATGAAGCAATACCCGAAGTGCTTCGATGGCATTGGGAAATTCCCAGGCAAGTACCACATCACAGTGGACCCCAACGTCGTCCCGGTTGTACACCCTCCACGCCACCTCCACGCCATCGCACTGAGAGACGAGATCAAGACGGAGCTGGAGGACATGATCCAGAACGGCATCATCACCAAGATCCAGGAAGGCGAACCAACAGCATGGGTGAACAGCCTCGTGTTCCGCCTCAAAGACAATGGCAAGCTACGCCTGTGCCTAGACCCCAAGGACCTCAATCACGCCATCCTGCGAGAGCACCACGTGGTCTCCACCATTGAGGAGATCACCCCGAAGTTGAGAGGTGCCAAAGTGTTCTCGATCGTCGACGTCAAATGTGGGTACTGGAATGTGGAGCTCGACGACGAATCCAGTTACCTCACCACCTTCAACACACCATTCGGGCGCTACAGATTCCTTCGCATGCCATTCGGCCTCAAGATGTCGCAAGATGTCTTCCAAGCAAGGATCGACCAGACGTTCGAAGGGTGCTCAGGCGTCACCGGCATCGCAGACGACATCGTCACATACGGGACGTCAGACGAGGACCATGATCTCAACATGCACCAGATGATGGTTCGCTGCGAACAATCTGGTCTCAAGTTGAACCCAGACAAATGCCGCATCAAAGAGGACAAGATCAAGTTCTTCGGCATCATCTGCAGCGCTGACGGAATACAGCCCGACCCGAAGAAGGTCTCAGCGCTGAAGCAGATGGAGCACCCCGAGAACGAGGACGAGCTCCAGACGTTCCTCGGGCTAGTCACGTACATGAGCCCGTTCATACCGAATGCAAGGTCTCGGCGCCACTCTGCTGCAGGACGACAAGCCTGTTGCATTCGCCAGCAAGAAGCTTACCGAGACGGAGTCTCGCTACGCCAATATTGAGCGTGAGCTCTTAGCTGTCGTATACGGGTGTGAAAGATTCCACACCTACCTATTCGGTCAGTCATTCACAGTAGAATCCGACCACAAGCCGCTGGAGTCAATCAAGCTCAAGCACCTCCGCGCAGCCCCGCCGCGTCTACAGCGCATGCTGCTGAAGCTGCAGCCGTACGACATGACCATCAAGTACCGCCCCGGAAAGGACATTCCGATCGCAGACGCGCTATCCCGACTGTCGCCAGAGGAAACAGAGCCAATTGAGGACCTCGACGTCAGTGTACACGCCGTGTTCCCGCAATTCAGCGATGCAGCGATGACGAGGATCCGCGAGGAGTCGGCTAAAGACGCCGACATGTCAGCACTGAAGGAGATGATCTTCAGTGGCTGGCCATCAGAGAGGAGCGCGGTGCCGGCAATTCTGCTCCCGTACTGGAATTTCCGCGACGAGATGAGCACCGAGGACGGTCTCATCCTGAAGAGCAGTCGCGTCCTGATTCCCCCGCCAATGAGGGGGGAAATCCTCAGCAAGCTGCACGCCAGCCACCAAGGCATAGAGAAGACCAAGCTGCGAGCCAGAACGTCCGTCTTCTGGAAGGACATCAACAAGGATATCGAAGCAACTGTCTCATCTTGCACGACGTGCCAGCGCCACCAGAGCAGTCAAGCCAAGGAACCACTGATGCAGCCCGATATTCCGCCAAGGGCATGGCACACCTTAGGCACGGACCTGTTCTACCTCGGCGGGTCAGAATACCTCATTGCCGCCGACTACTACTCCAAGTACTTTATCACCCGGAAGCTGCCTGCCGGACAAGCGACCAGCAGGGCCATCATCCAGCACCTCAAGGAGATTTTCGGTGAGCACGGCATCCCAGCCGTGCTGAAGTCGGACAACGGGCCGCAATACAGCAGCCATCTGTTCGCGGAGTTTGCTGCCGAATATGGATTCCGCCACAGTACGTCGTCGCCACATCACCCGCAGAGTAACGGGTTTATCGAATCGCAAGTCAAGATCGCTAAGAGAGCTCTCGAGAAGGCAAGGGAGAGCGGAACCGACCCGCACTTAGCACTGCTGTGCATTCGCGCCACCCCAGTGTGCCAGGGCTTACCGTCGCCGGCCGAGATGCTGTTCGGTCGTCAGGTACAGGACAACCTGCCTCGCAAACACCAGCGCGACACTCGGGACGAGGCCATCCGACAGAAGCTCGAGGAACGGCAGGACCAGCAGAAAGTACACCATGACCAGCGAGCGCAGTCTCTCCGCCCCCTAGTTCCTGGTCAGCACATCGGCATCCGCAGCCCGACCACGCACCTGTGGGAACCTGGTATCGTAACCCAGTCTGTCAACGGGCCACGGTCATACATGGTGCAGCCTGACCATGGGACAGAAGTGCGGCGCAACCGTACCCACCTCAGAGAGAGGCGGGTCCACTTCCCGCCGGATGCCAGTCTCGCAGGCCCTCAGCCGCCGAGTGACGTGCCGTCGCCGTGGAGCGACGTTAGCCAGTCTCAGCCGCCGTCACCGTGTGACGTCAGCCAGCCTGCTGAACCTGCCACCCAGCTGTATCGAACACGGTCTGGCCGCGCAGTTGCACCCAGGTCAATCCTGGATGTGTAGGGCCAGAGAGGCCTCATGGACCTGTTCGCTTATGTCACAGTAGCTGAGGTGCCATTGTTATATTGTACATAGAGCTATTGTTGGATACTATGTCTCTGTTAGCACGCCGTCGTGTGCCATTCATGATTGTTACCTTGTACATAGAGCTATTGTTGGATGTTATGTTCTATATTGTGAACACGCCGTCATATACGTACGGTATGTTATGTAGGTTGTTAAACTCCTTTATGACGAAGGGGATGTTGTATTATGATGTAATGCATTACGTAGCCATGCAAGAGCATGCGCGAGATACGCATCTCGCAGCTGCCTACTTTCATGCAGCATCCTTTAGATGTCGTGGTTCTTATGATTTGCCTACAATGGCCAAGTGAGAATTATAATCCTATCGTAAACAACTAACTTGTTTACCCCGAAACATAGACCAGGCTGAATAGTGGCGGCCAATTCTTCAGCCTTGCAAGCTGTTGAATGGTGCAATCCCAGCACAAGTTGCTATGGCTCCTGCTGTAGCATCGCTATCATCGCCTCCCGCGATGGGCGTCCAATGGTCCAATGGTGTGTGTGTGTGTGTGTGTGTGTGTGTGTGTGTGTGTGTGTGTGTGTGTGTGTGTGCGTGCGTGCGTGTGTGTGCGTGTGCGTGTATGTGTGTGGCTGTGTAGGTGGGTGTGTCTGTGTCTGTCTGTCAATCTAGGCGTCTGTCCCTCTGTGTACATGGTGTATCATATTACCTTTTTTCTCTCTATTTTTGAATCTTTTGTGTGTTAACAGAATGCGATGGCACACACTTGCAAGTGCTACTTTTGCACAACACTCTCCCTGTTACTGCTAATCAACGACAACAGATAATGGACAAGTGTTCAGTGAGGTTCCAGGATAATGTGAAAAGTCAGCAATCAGGTCGAATGTATGACATGCTGTCATACTTCATTGGTCCAAAGTATACCACTGGCTTATCTTCGGTTGATGGTGTGGAAATTCAGGCATTGTGCATATACAACCAAGACCATGAACCAGTGGAGACTGACGCGTATCCAGCTAATGTGTACAATGGTGTATCAATAGATATGACTGCAGCTACATGTCATGGCTACAGTGTTGTGGCCTGCCTGGGTGTGAACGATACTCTACTACTACGTCATCCAGGTCATGTTCCCAATGGTTATGTTGTTCTGCAAGCATCGGCACTGAAGTGGCAAGGATGCTACTGTATTCCGGTGAGTTTAAAGTAGGAAGGAGCAGGACACATAGAGATGGCATAGGTGGCTGAAATGTAATGATTTTTGTATTCCTGGACTTTGCCCATGAGATCTGTATGATGCAAGCAGCTGTATGAAAGAATCATTGTTCACTGTACAGGGTTCTAGCCAGGAATAAATTGTAGGGGAGGGGTAAGGGACAGCAAACAGTTCACCCATTTTTTTATGTTCCATTATTGCCTTGTCACCAGATAATGCATCGTGCGGGCGCACGGAGCACCCGGAACGATCGATTAGTGGCCGCATTTTCGCTGTGTGAGCTTAAAAAACACACAAAAGTCGAAAAAATGAGTCGGGTGGTGCGCTACAAGAGTGAGGGAGGGGGGGGAGGCATCAGAATGGGGCGGCGCTGCCCCCCCCCCCCCCTAGCCCTAGTCCCTTTGGCTAGAACCCTGCTGTACCTAAGGAGTCGTTTTACCGGTGTGCTGAACCAGATCATCTGGAGAGCACATGTGGTGGGGAGTTTGGACATTGATATTGAATCAATTGGAAGACACCTGTTGGTCATTCTCTCTCATTTTACTGTTCATCATCATGTATCTGTATAGTAGATTATAGGAGTCAAAAGAATCAACTTGCACATAGGTATGGCTTTGTCAGTGTTGGACATCTGCATGAACATCAGTTTGACCAAGCTGTATACATCTTTAATAGTGCATTATCATGATGTACTCCTGGTACAGTGGTAGTACAGTGTATGTACATGTACAGACAAAGTCACATGAGTGCAGAGAGGTGTAGCATTTCCATGATTACAGGAGGGGTAGTACAGATAACAACTAAAGGGCAAGTTCAAGATTGCCTGGCTACAGTTCATGTAGCAGCATGGTATTTTATACACGTACGCCAGTTCTTGTAGCAGCGTTTGTGTGAGTTTGTGCGTGTGTGCGTGTGTGTGTGTGTGTTTGTGTGTGTGTGTGTGTGTGTGTGTGTGTGTGTGTGTGTGTGTGTGTTTTGCACCCTTAATTGCACAGATGATCCTTGAACACGGGGCAGCAAAGACCCAGAAAAGTAGCCGATTTGTTCCTGATCTTATGATCAATTATCCCGATCACATTCCAGTATTCAAACATCTACTAGCACCCAAGCAGTGATGGTCACTGGCAGTCACATCTTACAGCTTGCTTTGGTAAGAAACTGTTTGTTTTTCCCAGCTGGTTAGGATCAACGAGAGGGCTTGAAAGCCTAGGAGCCCTCGCTATGCTTTCTTTTTACTTAGGTCATCATGTGTGTTATTCGAACCGATAGAAACGTCTTTGCAAAACGATGATCGGGCACATGTTTTTGCATTGCAAAGATGTTTCTAGCAGTTCGCACAACAACACAATTTGATGACTTAGGTAAGTATAAAGCATAGCGAGGGCTCCTGGACTTTAAGCCGTCTCGTTTTCCAGGTTGGGATTTGAACCGCACCTATCGCCCTGCATGCATTCCCTCGATACACTTCATATACATACACATTCTACCAAGTTACTTCACGTAACGGTTCTGCCGTTGAAAGCCCTATTTAAATTTCTGGCCAGCTTTCTCTGTCGGTACGATACGGTACTGGACTTGCACCAGGCATGGTTTATCACGTGATGACGATTAAAGCGTTGTGGACCCTTGAGACGTTGACGGCTATTTGCCATTCGCCACGCTGTCACCTCCAACCATCCACCGTATTTTCCGGAGTACAAGTCGCACTGGAGTATAAACCGCACCCCCATTTTTTTGGCCACGAAATACGGACATCTACCCTATCTATCACCATTGATTTGATCTTCGGAGTAAAAGCCGCACCCCCCCCCCCCCTTCCGTATTATCTCTATAATACAAGCGCAGCCTCTTGTAGAAGCCCAGTCTCTATTATAAGCGCACTCCAATAGGGCTTCGTAGATATACAAGCGCAGTCTCCACTATAAGCGCAGGGCCTTTAATGGAGAACTGTATGGATCAATGCCATGCATGTTTGACGTCACGCATCACATAAACGCATGCTGATTGCTATGGTAAAAAATGTGCACGTAATGTGCATGTACCAGGTGACCGGGCAGGCATAGTGGGGTGGTCTAAGACCATGATTGAGAAACAGAGGGTACCAAGTTCAAGTCCTGCTTGGAAGCGGAAGGAATTTTTCCAGCCGTGCTGCGACCCATAGTTACTATTGAGAACTCGTGGCCTGGCACGAGAGTAACATGGATGCAGCTATTGGGATTTCTGTCTTTGACCACTTTATGGTGGGTCAGATCAAATCACCTCCCACCGTTTAGGCGCTGCATCTGCGCCTTGATCCTAGAGGGTGGTGGCGTTCCTACGGATGCGGAAAACTCGGCTTCCAGCCGAGTCTCACGCGAACCGTGAAATTCATTAATTTGTGTACCAGGTAGTTGAAAAATTATACACCCAGTCTCTTGTAGAAGCCCAGTCTCTAATATAAGCCCGCGGTCTGGACTGGTTGAAAAAATGTAAGCGCTGGGCTTGTAATGGAGATAATACGGTATAAGCCGCACACCCCCCCCCCTTGTTTGGGATGATTTTTGAGTGTTCAAAGTGCTGGTATAACCTATGAGGGGAAGGTGAGCGCAACGAACTTCCAAGCTGGAAGGCTGTTGGTTTGCGCACTGGAGATGTGTTAGAGCTAGTTGTCAGGCCGTTGAATGTCTCAGTAACATGTCAGTTGTGTGCTTAGTGATCACATTTTCTGACTGCTTATTATCTTGTTACGGTAGTGAACAGTTACTCATAACCAAGAGTACATGAAAACCAGAGTGTGCAGCTTGGATGGGTTGCTGTCACGGCGGAATTCCGTGATTACATCATTTTAGTGATGTAGTGCGCGCAAGCAGGATTTAAGCAGGTCTCTTTCTGCACAACTGCAGCTCAGTTGAACGCACTACGCCATTTCCCGCCTCAGATCTGCGCCCAATATGATGTAATCACGGAATTCCGCCGTGACAGACACCCATAGTAGAAAAATCTCCAAGCTGCACACTCTGGGTTTCATGTACGCTTGTCATAACTCGTAACCCATGTGTCCTTTCTCTTTTTTACACCAACAATACCTCTGATTTTTCTTCTGATTCCAGTCTCTCTCTGCAATTGTCTTCTGTTTCCTCAGACACCGTCCTTTGTTTTGGAAGACGCTCCGAGTTTGCTGGGTGGATGTCATATCATTACCAAGCACACCAACGCGCAGGACCGGTTGATCTTGAACTTGAGTGGGTGAAGCAAGTATTCAAGTATTCAGTTTTGATATTCACACTACTGTACAGTCACTCTCTACCCTGACTTGAGGTGTACTTGCAGTGCCAAACAATTTTTACACATGCATGTAATTCTTGAGGCAATACACTTTTTGCATTTTATCTTGGCCCGAAGTTGCTTCCGTCGATGACTTTCACGGTCGTTCATTCTTGTCGCGGCATTGTATATGCTGTGACTTGTGGCTGAAGCTACAAGTGTTATTTGCACCATATGAAGCTTTGCCTCAGTGCCCTGCACAGCAGAGCAACGACCTTGTTTTCTCTCTTCTCATAATTATGTACAGTGCTCTTGACTGCTGAAAGTTCATAATTTTTAAAACTTCTGTATTCATCTCCTGCTCCCTATCCGCATCTGTGGTGATCTCGAATGCGTGTGGTATCTCCTGGCTCTTTTTGAAACATGGTTAACGTCAGTAACGTTATTGTACCAATTTTCGTTTGATGATCGATTAAGTTCGTGAAAAGTCGGAGTTACGAAACCGCAACTGCTCGTTCTTCTGTCTGTGTAACGTTATATTGTATGCTGACAATACAGTCGTCCCTCTCTAATCCGGCACTTGTTTATCCAGCACCCTTGCAAACCAGCACACCGCTTTCTGGCAAAATGGATTTTTCAGTTAATTTTGTACGCTTTAAAATCCGGCACTTGAATTCCGCCTCCGCGGCAGCGATTTTCTGCAACAAATCGCTCAAACTGTACGTAATTCGGTTTTCTAATCCAGCAGGTGTACATCGCATACCGTACCGGAGCACAGCTATGTCAGTTTGGTCAGTGCATGAGCTACTTATCAGGGAGCATTCTACACATGTAACATACACTTGGGAATATCCTATGCACTGTATAGACATGCATTCCAGAAGTACTTGGATTAACACGGAAAATCCCTGCTTTTTGACGTACGACACAAACATGTATGTTAGTAGGTGGGCCGGGTTGCAGGACAGGACTTGATAATCCAGCACCCTTGTTTATCCAGCAGAAAATGCCGTTGCAAAAGGTGCGCCGGATTAGAGAGGGACGACTGTACTACATTGTTTTTTGATTTTTCACGTTACTACTGTTGTGAACATAGAAATCCAGTGGAATGACCTGACCGCGGGGATGGCACCCTGGTCTTACTTACTTAGTTTGCACACGCACTGTGTGACACTTTAAACACATGGACCAGCACTGGTCACGGCTGCACGGCCAGCGCCTCGTCGCCGCTTGACTTTGCAGCGGATTTCAATGCCCGCTACAGCAGCATGCTGTATGTCTTGAAATTGCTATGTCACAAACAGCCCTCCTGAGTTATGACTATGCTGCCCTGGACGGCTCCAGGACTTGGCATGTGATTTGATATTAAAATTTAATAACTATCATAGGACTACCCAAAGGCAAATTGCCTATTGAGGGGTTTATCGCGTTGAATGGTTGTGGTATGACAAAGCAAAGAGGCAACCATTGTGTGTGTGTGGGGAGGGGGGGGGGGGAGTTTCGAACTATGCAGTCAAAGGATAATTGTATGAAATATGTATCATCTGTAGACGATAGATTACGAAGAAAATGTACGGGTCGGTACACACGGCCCAGGCTTGATCTGGCTGATCCAAGCCCTCTGAACCTCGTTCGGTATGTGCAAGAGTTCATCAACCATGGCTTTCGTTTCACCTCTTGTGTTCATTGCACCTCAAGTTCAAGACCTTGGCGCGGGCTTGGCGGAAAATGCTTAAAAAAACCCGGCAGAATTTGGTACTGGATCACATGATGTTAGTGCACAGTCTAGTTCTGGCCGGAGCAATCCGACCTCATAACTAAAGTAACGCTGTGCTCAAGTAATAAGTAACTTAGCAGAGTGTTTTGTGTGGTGTTTGTTGCCCCCGGCGCAATTTATTCATGCGCCGGTCGGATTTCTCTGGCCAGAGACTACTTTTCTGGTACATCATTTCCAGCATTATCCGCCCAAGCCTTATAATTATGTGAGTACAACACCTGGAAGTGCACTACCCGCCGACAGGTTACACACACTGTGACAGTAGATCTCCCAAAAAAAATGTGAGACCTGCTAGTAGACCTACTGTCTAGTACTACTTACTAGTACTAATAATAATAAGAAGAAGAAAGCAAATATGGGCGTGACGTCACAATCTGCATTCGAGTGCAAAAAAATCGCAAAAAGTAAACGAAATACTCGATCGTACATACATGTATCAGGGAGTCGTAAAATAATGGTATTTTACGACTCATCTGTGATCACTTGATGTAGACTACGTCTCGATCGAATAGTACGCGAGTGGCGAAAAATACTGTCAAAATACTATCGGATGCACTCCCAGAGTATCTTTCAATCCGAGTTTGGTTTGTTTCATACAGTCATCATGGTCATGTACAAATGTCAATGACATGATGTACTACGGTCTTGTTATTCCTGCGAGAGAGACTGCAGTCTGCACTGGTAGATCTCTAGACTCTACATAATAGTCTGCACTGGTAGATCTGTAGATCTGTAGACTCTACATAGGCCACAGGGTCATGCATGTAGTCGCTGTTTCCTTGCAATAAAGTCAGTACTCTCATCCTAGCTCTGGGCGTCATCAAGGTCCTATTGGCTATTGACGTATGTAGTGGAATCATGAGATGCTTCATTCCCGACCCAAGTCCTCACCACTCACCAAGACTGGACCAATTTGACTGACTAGTTTCTGTGCTGAACATCTCCCTCCAGCTATATCGCACAGGTGAGAAAGAAAAACTGGTACTTCAAGTTGCCACGCGGCACACCATTTTTTCATTGAAAACTGGCCGTGACTGGACTGTTTCAAGTGTTTGGCTAAGAAGCTCAGCTGCGCTTCCGCATACATGTACTAGCATTTAAAATTTACTGTCCAGGTGTGAACGACTGAGTGTGTTCGAGCGATTATTGAAAGGGGATGGTGAAGACTTTAAATTTCAGGGTCCGTATAGTTTGGGGCGCGGAGTCGGATCTTTGTCCGAGGAGGCTGCGGTCCATAGTTCGTCAGCCTGCCCAATCGAACATGTGCGAATTTGAGCGCGCAGTCATCCGGATCCAAGTGATGACGTCACAGCGTGTAGCCAGGTAGCCACACCATCTATTTCGTGTACAAAATGGCCATTGTTCGGAACGCGTTCGATTGGGGAAGCGTTTGTCGCAGCGTCTTCAGCCCAAGACCATTGGACTACGTACCCTGCGTATGTGGTTTTCAGCTTGGCAAATCTTGAGGTTATCCCGTCTTTTAGCCGTTTCCGAGTTGGACTTTTCCGGCCGCGCTGGCCTTTGCATGCATGCTAGCTGTACTGTAGACGTGTTGTCAGCAAACTCATCACACACAGAACATGACTACTCCCGCACTGCCGTGCTACGTTAGTCGTGTGGTAGATCAGCAAGAGTCGAGTAAAGAGACCAGTCAAGAAACGGACTTGTCATGTACTGCACTGGTATCAGTCGTATGTACAGTCAGGGAAGGTGCGTTTCTCCTTGCCGGTGGTTATGCTTTGAGAAAGATTTTTTTAGTTTTCCACATGGAATAGCCCAGATTCATTTATGAGTCCACAACCGTGACAAGTGACGAAACAATAAACAGCTCGTGCCCATGGTTCAAAGAGATTGCACTGTTCTGCAATCGTGCAGCGTCCGAAATATGCCAAGTTCACACCAAATTAAATCCGGCAATATATGGCAGGCCACTAGAGTCGGTATTGAACAACATTTAGAGCACTCGCATCACTCTTCTCCATTTTGATGACTCTGCTCTCCAGAGATCTTATAATTGTATAAGCATCATCTGCAATAGCTGCTGGTTCGTCATCAGTCACAAACACGGCAGCGCTCACTCTTGACCGGCCTGTGTGGCCATATCTTGAAATTTTCTTCAGCAGAATACCGAAGTTCTCAGCCCCAGACCGAACTCATGAAGGTCAGCCTCCATCCTCACTCTCACCTGGAGTTACGTCTTCGGGGTCGCTTGCACCAACTACTATCGATCGCCAAATCATTTGAAATAGCATTGACACTAGTATTGCGTTGAAACACTCCTTTATTGCGTTGAAGCACTACTTTTGACCTAGCTGCACGCTATGACGTTGCAGAGGCCGCATGACGTCATGGCGCAGCCCCCCCCCCCCCTCTGAAACTCAGTTTTTCAAACGGAAATATCTCAAGAACGCTTTGTCGGAGACACATGGGACCAACACCATTCGACTCAGCGCCCCAAACTCTACGGACGCTGAAATTTAAAATTTTCACCGGACTTCCCCTTTAATTTAAAGAGGAAGTACACCCTAAAATCAAATTTCCACCAGTTGTAGGCTTCGGGTTGCTGATTCGAATGGTCTTGGTCCGAGGAAGCTGAGACGCTCCCTTCCTCCTTTATTCCCAATCAAACTCGCCACTTCCACCGAAACTGGGTGACTGCGCCCTATTAGATGGGAATTTGTATGCACAATGTCACTAATAGCGCCATTTCGTTTTAATAAAAAAAACCTAATCAATATAGCTTTTCGGCTGTTTCCTTTTCATGTATATAATCTTCTCCTTCTTTTACCATGGTTGGCTATCACCCACATCTTGCCGTTTTGGCTGCCATCGGAAGCCATAAGATGTTGAATAAATAAATATATAAATAAAAATAAAAGCACGGATGACCGCGATTGGCCCATATGTTGTAGTCTTTTGGACGCTGAGTCGACTGGTTTTGGTCGTACACCAGTTACCTGGTCACAGTGCCTGCAGACTGCAACTTTAACACCAAGGTTCAACTAAAGGGTTCAAAGGTTCAACTCCAGTGAATGACAGGAACGAGCCCAAACAGGCTGTAAGTTGACGGTGACCATGTGACAGATGTACGCATGAGCACATGACCGCTTACTCAACCGTGTTGGATTGGGAATAAGGGCTGAACGCTGCATCTCAGTATTTTCGGACCAAAACCAAAAGACCTGTAACGCTTGTACAGTAGATTATAAGTATACTGTAGTGTGTGCCTCGGGTGTCTTCCAGCAGACTTACGTCGGGTGTCTTCCAGCAGAGTTACGGAGCTGCGAGTTTGAATCCACTCGCCTGAAAAATAGGAGAATGTTTCAATCATTCGCCTCCCGGCTCCCACCTGAAGGCTGTAAGGGCCCCGGTCTGGCATGCAGCTGAGAGTGGTGGAACCGCTCTAGCGACAGTTCCGAAATGTAAACACCTAATAATATACAACTGCGGGAACTGCGGAATTTACACTTCTGTGGACACTCAAATCTGTTGCCCCCCCCCCCCTCCCCCACCCTCAATTTTCTACAGCGATACATAATACTTCCGCGACTCTGTTTCAGCACACAATGAGTGATCTACAGTGTACCGTGTACAAGGAGTGATGTTGATTTGATGTTGTTTATTGAGTTGTGTTGACCAGTCACTGTTCTGTTTTGCGCTATTGTTATGTGCTGTAGGAGGTGGTGGAGATCAGTCTTGCTGAAGAGAATACACCAACACAGCATGTTTGCTTCAAAGTTACGTGGCAATCTCAAGAGTGTCGGTTACTTTGTTCAGCATGGCTATGGTGTGAGCACAGTAGCCTCGTCACAACTCAATGTTCCTGGCAAGTTGATATCCACTCCGGCATCACCACACTCCATTCCAGGTGTGAGGTATCAGTCAATTCGGCCTGGCAATCATGGCACTAGTGTACAAGATGCCCTTAACGCTAGTGATTCAATCTACGATAGAATTAACAAGACACGTACATTTCAAGCTATTGATTTGGAATCTCAATGTGCTCTGATTCAACGACATGTAACTGAACTACGAAGTCCAAGTTTCGTTAGGAATATCCTACATGCTTGTGCTCTGATCACGGAGGAGAACTCTGACGTGACCAAGCTGGCAGTATCTGCACTGCATCAACTAGCCAGTCTGCGTACTGACCTCTGGCAAGACTACAAGAATCAAGAGCGCCTGAGATGGGCATTGCACTGGGCAGCAAAGTGTCGCTGTACAAGTCCAGTGTTCAGGAAGCTACTTCAGCAGCAGCTTGATGTCCTGTGCCTTGATCAATGCAGAGGTGTTGACCATTGTGCCCATGCACTGTTCATGTTGAATTCACCAGACCGTTGCCTGGCGCAAAACTTGCTGAATCGCTATTTGACCATACACAGTACAGGTGATCCAAAGTATCGTCATACTCAAGTACTCTCACTACTTCTCTACTGTACACTGTGTGGTGTAGAGTGCAGTGCCTTGCTGAAGCTGATCAGTGTTGATCAACTGATACAGAGTAAGTCTATTCTCTGAGTAATGTTTGTTGCATAGAGACTGTAGTGTCTGTTGTTGGTTGTGGTGTTTCTAAACACATGTAGTGCCGTGAAAGAACACTGCAATACAAATGAACAGCGATACTCTTTTATTTCTCACCTCACTGTTCAAGTACATTTAAAGCTATATTTTTGATTTAACAGATATGGTGTCTATGGTTCAAGCTACACTGTATCCAGTACAGACATGTGTACTTTCACTTGCGTGTCATAGAAATGTTTGATCCATAGTCATGACCACTGAGGAGATGGGGGTAAATAGGTATGGTTTAAGCTACACTGTATCCAGTACAGACATGTGTACTTTCACTTGGATGTCATAGAAATGTTTGATCCATAGTCATGACCACTGACAGGATGGGGGGGGGGGGGGGGGGGGTAAATAGGTATGTTTGATGGAATTCAGAGACTAAAGGCCTATTGTGTACTTTGGCTTGATGTTTTAGTAAGTTGATGTGAAAGTCAGTGATGATTGTCTTCAGATGTTACCTTTCTGTTCATAGTCATGTCGCTACAAGTCAATCTCATATAATTACAGTGGTGTGTATGTGGTGGTCTGTATCTGTCTGTGTGTGTGTGTGTGTGTGTGTGCTTGCGTGCGTGCGTGTGTGTGTGTCTGTGGCTGTGTAGGTGTTTGGGTGTGTCTGTGTCTGTCAATCTAGGCGTCTGTCCCTCTGTCCATCATATTACCTTTTTTCTCTCTCTCTCTATTTTTGAATCGTTTGTATTTTAACAGAATGCGATGGCACACACCTACAACTGCTACTTTTGCACAACACTCTCCCGGTTACTGCTAATCAACGACAACAGATAATTGACAAGTGTTCAGTGAGGTTCCAGGATAATGTACCAAGTCCGCACACAGGTCGAATGTATGATATGCTGTCATACTTCATTGGCCTAAAGTACACCACTGGCATGTCACAGGTTGATGGTGTGGACGTTAATGCATTGTGCATATACAACCAAGACCATGAACCAGTGGAGACTGGCGCGTATCCAGCTAATGTATACAATGGTGTATCAGTAGATATGACTGCAGCTAAGCGTCATGGTTTCAGTGTTGTGGCCTGCCTGGGTGTGAAGGATACACAACTACTACGTCATCCAGTTCATGTTCCCATTGGTTATCATGTTCTGCAAGCATCGGCACTGAAGTGGCAAGGATGCTACTGCATTCCGGTGAGTATCAACTTCAAGTAGGAATATGTCACGGATGGGTGTAATTTGAGACCAAGGGGTCGTCGCAAAAGTTGTTTGGTCGTCCCTGAAACGAACATCGTTCAGTTCGCACGCGGAATCCCTCCCCTCCCTCTGAAATGAACGCAGCTTGCTATGCTGGACGACGAAAATCTCATGAATGTACTTTTTGAAGTACAATCATGTATATGTACAGTGTTAGTTGACTTGCAATTTTGGATCACACCCCCCACCCCCACCCCCTCCACCCCCCACCCCCCTCCACCCCCCTCCACCCCCTCCACCCCGCCCCCACCCCCTCCCCAATGAATGATGTTCGTTTCAGGGACGACGAAAAACGTTTGCGACGACCCCCAAGTTGCCTGCAATCCCATCCTGCTCGTTCCAGTTGCCACAAGAGAGAACTACTCGGGCGCGAGGCAATGCCTTACCCTATCTTGATCTGAGTCTTTCAGGAGATTGAACCCAAAGTCCTCCTGTTCTGGAAAAGAATGAATTCGTCTCTGATGGTATTCTGCACATGCGAATTAGACGGGTAATAATAATGGGCCTTGGCGTACATGCAAAAAGCAGCACAACAGGAAATAGTGTACAAAAGAGGGTAGGATGGCAATTGCAGCGAGATGTTCCACTATTCTGCACATGCGAATTAGACGGGTAATAATAATGGGCCTTGGCGTACATGCAAAAAGCAGCACAACAGGAAATAGTGTACAAAAGAGGGTAGGATGGCAATTGCAGCGAGATGTTCCACTTTTGGCAGAGATGCATTCAGCTGAAAAGAATCACTTGCAAGTGTGTTTACGTATATAATAACACATGGTACGGAGGGCATTATGGCTGATTTATGCCCTAGTGCGTAGCCCGAGGTCGTGCACCGTAGCCCAAGGGCCGCAGGCCCGCGGGCTACGGTGCACGACCGAGGGCTACGCACTAGGGCATACAATCAGCCATAAGGGCCCGGTCACACATGCACTCGAAAGTAGCGTATACGCTGAAGCGAGGTCGCAGGAGCGAAAAATGGCATGGCAACGGCGAAAAGCGGAACTTCCGCTTCAGCGAAAACTCCAATCCGCTTCCGCCAAAATTTTCGAAGCGAGACTGTCGCTTCTGCGGATTCGCTTCAGCGGAAATACCATGATCTGCTGTATATGGACTTGCTACGAGAAATTTGTATGCGTATGATGTCCATGCAGCTAAAATGCGTGCAAGATAGTCATTGACCTCGTCTATTCTCCGTACCGTATGCACCACAGTCTCATTTTCCGCCAAAGTAGGAGTTGTGCCCTGTTTGTATGTGTGACCACACACACGTGGTTTCGCTGGAGCGACACCAGGCTCGCTGCCGCCGAACCTCGTCGCCGAAGCGAATCCCAGTGCATGTGTGACCGGGCCCTAATGCACGACGCACCATGTGTTTATTATAGTTCATACATGCCACGTGCCTAGTTGTAGACACATAAGGTAAACATGGTCAATACAAGGGAGGAGGAAGGTTCCAATCAGCTGTCATATGAATGAAGGGTCGAACAAGATCGGAAGGAGCTTTCTCCGTGGAATGATAGAACGTTTTGTGTCAGATTTACTTGCAGTTCCAGGAATATGCCTTTGCATTTTGGTGTTAGTGTTGCCTATTGGGCGGTGCGGAAGTTAGCTGATTCGCTGCTGCTTTGGAGTTAACGTTGGATGCAAACATCCTTGACCAAATGGCACTAGTAATTAGACTAGTTATGAGAGTACATTGTAAGTGTTCTTATTCGGAACAATGATACTTTTTCACATACATCTGAGATTGTGTTCACATTGCTTTCAGTTTACTTGAGGTCCATATGTACACTGGACATGTAGCTAGGTACATTTGAAGTACATGTACATGTAGATGTAACTGTATATTTTGTAGGAGTTCGAGATACAATTATTCTGATCTATTCCAGATAGGTAACTTTGTGATGCATGTTCACCTGTCGACTTGTTCGTCTCAATTGACTTGAATTTAGTAATGCATTGCAATGACATGCTGTGTGCTATTGTCACGTTGTTATAAATTACTTCTCCTATGTCGACATTGCCAGTAAAATAGAATTGTTTTGGATGGTGCACGTAAGTAGTTTCGTTTTGTGTGGTGTGTGCGAGTGCATGTGGTGTCCTTAGGAATGGTCCCGTGCGTTCTATGTGCGCTGGAGTACTGCCAATTATGTGCCAGGTCACTGCCCAAAAGGCATGGCTTGGTGCATATTTGGCAGTGCACCAGCGTACGTAGTACGCCTGGGGTCATTCCTAATGGGCATGGGTACGCCGTACCCGGGCATTATCGTCTGATAATGCCCTAGTACGGTGGTGCTCTGATTGGCCAAATGCTAGCAACGACCTGACAACAGGCACGTGACATGTATGAAGATAGCTTACAACATATACCAACGTGAAATGCATGACAGTTGATGCGTACACATGACAATTGTACTCTGCTATCAGTGTACTACTGTACTATCAGTGTACTGTAGTACACTGATAGCACTGTAGTACACTGATAGTACTGTACTATCAGTGTACTACAGTACTATCAGTCTATTGCACATGCGACGTCATCATTATGTGATTTGTTTTCAATCCTCCGCCATGGCAAATTGTGTTTTGTTCGCCCGTAAAAGAGGCTTTTACTACTACTAAAAAAAAAAAACAAAAAAAAAACTGTACTATCAGTGTACAGTACTATCAGGGTACAGTACTCCATTTCCAGGCAGATAGCTGTTTTGACCTTCTTAGGTCTCATCAGCGGAGCTAAGAGTGACTAGCTGAGCCGATCAGAATGAAATCTACTGAACGACGAAGCATTTCATAAACCGGCTCAAAGCATCAAAGTCAGAGTGCTTGTGTGTGTGTGTGTGTGTGTGTGTGTGTGTGTGTGCGTGTGTGTGCGTGTGTGTGTGTGCGTGTGCGTGTGTGTACATGTGTGTATGTGTGTGTACGTGTGTGCATGCACACCATATATGCGTATATCATTGTTTCTGCACAGATGATCCTTGAGCACGGGGCAGCAAAGACCCAGAAAAGCAGCCAATTTGTTCCTGATCTTATGATCAATTATCCCGATCACATTCCAGTATTCAAACATCTACTAGCACCCAAGCAGTGATGGTCACTGGCAGTCATGTCTTACTCCTACTTTAGTAAGGGCCTGCCCGTATCTTTCAACTGATCAATGAGTGTATTTCTAAGCGTTCGATCGGTCCCTCGGTTGCTATGGTAGCTAAGCCTGCCCTGCGCATGTGGTAGTTTGTCTCCAGCATCTGCAGTGTTCTCTCTCTCTCTCTCTCTCTCTCTCTCTCTCTCTCTCTCTCTCTCTCTCTCTCTCTCTCTCTCTCTCTCTCTCTCTCTTATGCCTGATTCACACTAGGCCGATTTTTGGACCGACACGAAACTCTGAAAATCAGCTGGCGTGGACGGTGTTGTCGTACAAGTTTCCGACAAATCTGCGGCGAGTTTCTGGTCGTACGTGTTTTCGGCCAAGTATCGACTGGTCGATATACCGGCCGATTTTAGTGCTTGCACGGGGTGTAGCCGGCCTCCAACCAATTCCTTACGGCTTTTCCCCATGACAGCAGAGACCGAGAACTGGCTGCACTGGATCGTGACTAGACGCTAGCCATTTCACGCTGTTCGCCATGTGGCTCGTGTCAAAACTATCCCTTTTTCACTGGCGTGTACTCCGGTCTAGCGGCGCTGTGTACGTCGTGTACGTGTGTGCACAGACAGGCTTGCAACTATATGTAGTGCAAGCGAGATTGCCCACCGTTGCGTGTGAACAGCTAGTCCGACTCATCCGACGCAGTCGGCCGATTTCTGGTCGGAGTCGGTGTTGGAGCATCTGTCTAATGTTGACCAGGCATTACAATCGTATCTCTCTCTCTCTCTCTCTCTCTTTATACGGTCCGTCTGGGACCGGTGGACACTTTGACTTTGAAATGTCTGTAACTCTGGATCACATACATTTCAATAGGGAACAGCCAGAGATCTGGCATGTCACTTCACTATTTCCACAAGAAATGGCAAAATAGTGGTAATATTTCCACTAAAAGGGTGCCGGGTATACCGAGGTGCTCGAAACTTCGGCTAAGCAAGATAAGCGCGGGGTAGAGGGGACGGTTTCAAATAGGACACAGGTTGCAAACCGGAACGGACTCAATATTCACTTTCTCTCTTGGTATTTTGATTAGAAAACATATGTCACAGTGAGACTACGATGTGTTATACTCCGAGCCAAAATTTCATGGTTCTGCGATGACCAGAAGTGCCATATCAAGCAGGTGAGTTTTTGACGTGTTGCTTCGCACTGCGACTTGAGTTTTACGACTTTCGAAAAATCAACTTCTTGTCGCAGGTAAACAGCGGCTCGCCTCTCGCCAATAAAGCACCGCATACCAATCAAAACTAATGGAAGCACACACAAGGCTTATTGTTACTCTGTACTGGCCGTCGTGGAGCGATAGCAATTACCTAATTTCAGACCCAGAGTGAATTTGACGTGCACTCTAAAACGTGTCCGGTTTGGAGCCACCTCTGATTTGAACTTTTTTGAAGCGAAAAATTGGGCAACTTGGAGGCAATGGGTCAACACAAAGGAGTGGCTCAGTTCGATTGACTCTGGCCCGAGAGCAAACTTCAAGATGCCAGTTTCCTTCCACAAACATATTTCGAGTGAAAAATCAACGCTGATGATCGGTTTGGGTCTATACGAATTTGGCTGTCAAAGCGTCCCGGTATCCCGGTATCCCGGTATCCCCTCTACATGACTACTGTAATTTCACAAATTTTCGGTGTACTTTTGTCTTCGGTACTTTCGGTGCGTCTGTCTCATACCTGAAATTTCAATACACCGAACAAACACTAACACACATAATCCAATCGGGAACTGCTTCTCTGTACCTAAAATGTCTGTTCACCTAACCTGGCCATTTGCCCTCATACCGAAAATATTGAGCACCTAAGGGGCCGTCCGTAATTATCGAATGTTTTTCGCCAAACTGCAGCCACGAGGCGCCCATTCACTTTGTACAGGCGAGCTGTGACTGCGTTTTTCGCTTTTCAGCGACCGGAACTGAACTCCCTTCTACTACCACCCTCGATATCCCGGCCAAATAGGGATAGTTGGTAGGTATGCAATTGTGGAATTGATATTTTCTTCTTAACTGAGGTAGAGTTTCATACCACCGGCAATTACCTATATCTTTCTTTCCTGATTCAATCTTTCTGTGCTTTGTGCGCTGTGTTCTCTGATATATCTTGTTTTGCAGTGGCGTCTCTGTACAGTCTGGAAGTCGCCAGCAAGCGCGTCATTGTTGCAGCGTCAGCCGTCTTGAGCTTGAGCAAGGGCAATGGTCGACAAAGCTGTATTCAGACTCTCTCTCTCTCTCTCTCTCTCTCTCTCTCACACACACACACACACACACACGCACACACACACACACACACACACACACACACACACACACACACACACACACACACACACACACACACACACACACACACACACACTCATCAGCCACTCTCTGCTCTGATCTGAGGGCGGCACTGTGCCTCGCAAATGTCAACCGGAGCTTGCGTGGAATGCAGCGTGGCTCGCGTGTGTTCCTGTCAGCTTTACATCTGCTTGTCTCATCGTTTTGTCTTTCACCAAAATTAATGCCCTTGCCCATCGTCGCACCAGCTCCAGCTATTGTTCCGATACCACGACTCGTGATGTATGTTACTGTTACCGGTGCATCCAGCACTCCAAGCCTGCCGTCTTTGAGTGAGCAGCACTGGTGCCAAGCAGCTCTGGTGCGTGCTAACGCCTAAGGGTATACCTGCAAGTCAGAGCACTGCCGGTCAAGACTCTGCTTGCTTTGCCCGTGCACAGCGTGTGCCATCGATCAGAAGACCCTCTGGAATGAAGGCTTCCGGACGGTTTCAAAATAGGGCCGCTCTTGGCTAGGATCCCTGTTCACAAGTGGCATGGTCACAGGAAAATGAAAAATGAAGGTATCGGTGCAATAAAAGCCGCTCTTGAATCGAAGACTGATTCCTGCATAATAGAGTGAGTACTCTAGTGTGTGTGGTATACACCAGAAACGCTCTGAACTTCTACTTGTCTTGGCCTGTTCGTGGCCTGAATGTATGTATGAAGCAGGTATCTGCACCGTGCTTTTCCACGGTGTCTCGCACTTGAATTCATTTTTTACCCCTTTTGGCAGGCTGTTGCTGGATAATGTATTAATAATTACGTATGCGTGCACATGCATGCTCGATAGCCATGCTAGTTCCTAACTTTTACATGAGTGTACATGACATTGTACACTCTAGCTGCTTGCTTAGTCAAGCATGCGCTGTACACGCTATGGCATGTACATGTACTGAACTTCTTTCATGCATTTGAGTGTCTAGTATTGCATTGCAATAGGCCTCCGCATTGCTTTTCTTTCATATCTTCGTGTGCATGTATATGTATATGGACCGTTGCTCTGCTGTTGTCAAGGAAACTGCGTGTGCCCAGTTGGCGTGGCAATGTCCGCGATGCTTGGCTGCCTGACAGCAGGTGTAACGGGGTTGAATCTGGGTGTGAGGCCAGTTCTCATGGCACTAACATGCTGTGTCCGTCCCCCATGCCCTCTGGAGTTCCAGCGATGAGTACCACTGAAGTCCAATTTCCTATAGGTGATACGCCAGGTAGGATGGTAGGGTGGGGATGGTGGCTTTCCACCTTCTGAACCTAACTATGACCAAATTTTTCTCAATTCTTTCGCAAAAAAGACGTGCTCTGCTAGTTTCTGACCCTTTACTTTAGTAAAGGCTTCACTTACACCACAAGCAGTCACGCATACACATCTCAGTGCTATCTGCTCCACACGCAGCCTGCTGTTGTGGGTTCAATATCTATGATCAGATCTAGAACTATCATGCTATCTTAATCCGGACCTGATCTCTGGATACATTCATATCATGTACGATGGCTGGTAGCAGGTATCTGGTTACATGCATAGCCCCAAGCATGTGAATGATGCATGCCACCAGGGAGCCCTACCCAACACATACCGGCATGTGTAGGGCTCCCTGTATGCCACACACCTGTTTTAGGTGATCTTGACCTGATCGTTTTCATACAATCGTGCTAAGCACAATAGATTTTGCAGGCCTTTCTCAAGCCATGCAAGGTCAAAAAAGAAGTTGCACCCTAGATTTGAACCCAAGTTGATACACCTGCATGCTGACTGAGGGAGTGATTTCCATTGACCAAGAGACAAAGCAGCTTCTTCTCCAAGGAAACTCTGTAAAGAAGGATTTGAGTTTGCCATGCCATTCCCAAGCGTAGAAACGGTTCCTGCCGAAAACGATGCAGTCATCAGTTCAAAGCCAGCCGACACCCACTGTGTAGTGTACTGCAGAGTAGCCTGAGAGGTACTGCCGTCCGTATCCCGGGGCACGGCTGGTTTGGGAAGCCTGAGACTCAGGCTCTACTCGGATCATCATGAATTTACTTCTGAAGTACAAGTGTCTCGGTGATCAGGAGTTGATGTACTAACGCCATCATTCTTTGATACTATGAACAACAAGACAGCATTTACAAGCTTTGAGACATGAACACTGTCAACAGATGAGCTGAGTTACGCATGCAAAACAAGCCGCGAGATTTCTGTAATTTATAGAGAGAACAGGGATTTCTCCCAATTCAAAAGTCGGAACTTCACCTCCTCGCATTCTCTTATACTCACGCACAAAGCACATTTGCTCCCATGTAATTGGGCTTGCTGCCCGTTTGATTCGGCGAATTAAAATAAATGAAACAACAATGACCTCCTGCCCGAACAGCACACATTCTGGAAACGGAGCAGGGTCAAAAACTTACAATGCATACTCTTGTGGGATAGGGCAATTCTCACGTGCCCACGCCGCGCAGCAAACACTGCCACCACAGCAGTGCACAAGTTCACAACGGCAGCTTTCCAGCAGCGGGAGACTGCACCAGTCAGAAATGTATGCTTGGGAAAAATGTTTGCGTGCAAAGGAACGCTCAAGGCTCATAGACCTCTGTAGGACAGGAGGTCTGGAAACGGGGACTATTTCTGGACAATTTGGAAATATAATTGCTCTCTGCTACAAAGCATCAATGAAACTGTTCAAAGAAATAAAATTACGGTGAACTCGGCGGAGAAAATTGGAACAAGGAAAGAAGAAGAGAAGGGTGAAAAGAAGAGAAGGGTGAAAAGAAGAGAAGGGTGAAAAGAAGAGAAGGGTGAAAAGAAGAGAAGGGTGAAAAGAAGAGAAGGGTGAAAAGCGGAGGGAAGAGACTAGAAACACCTGTAGTTTGCCTCTGATGTACGAATCAAAACCTAGCCAAAGACTCGGTAACTACTAACAGTTAGGCTTGCTGTTCAATGCCAGTACCGTACTCGGTTTCTCCAGTCAGTAGCATGCCGCCTTCAAAGACAAACAACTCCTCAGCCGTGCGCTCACGTGCGGTCACTTCATACGTCGACAGCGCTCTGCTGTTGTCTTCCGCTGTAACAAGATACAATGCACACGCGCACGAAAGAAGCCGGCAGAGTAAAAATCAGCATCCAGCAATGTTTCTAGCAACGCAAGACACCCTAGTACTACACAAACAAAAGATTAATGTTCTTATCATCTGTCCGCAACTTTTGGTGTGGTTACAATCGACTCCTGATATGACAAACACCATTGTGCAGGAGAACTGGTTCTTTTTTGCCGAAGTTCTCCGTTATAACAGAAATGCACTTCCACGGTACAAGCAGCAAGTCATGCCTAGCATGTGGCACATGACTGCACGAGTGCACCTGGCTTACATGTGGTCCATTGTAGTTCGTCATAAGCGAAAATGGTTCGCTACGAAGGGTCCATTTGTCTGGGTGTTCAAACTTGGACATGGACAACGGTTCGCTAAGTTGTATCATGAAATTCACTATATGCGTCGTTATAAGCAGAGTCGAATGTATAATGATTATAATGTAATCTGCCCTTGTGCAAAGATCGCTGTGTTTATCGCAGTTAGGGCACTCCGACTTGGACGCTTTGAGCGGGTTTAGCAATACTTTGTCATCTCCCAGACTTCATTGTGATCGGTTCGACCAGTAACTCTGAGCTCCACAGATAAGATCTGACAGAGATCCAAAACAGCTAGCTGTCCGGTCAGGGGCGCAGCAGGGGTTTTGTTGGAAGTGGTACGACCGAAGGTCGGTGCGGCTGAAGGCCGTGTTGGAGGGGGTCCGGGGACCTCCCCCATGAAATTTTGTAAAAAAGACACAACATCCTGCGTTCTGGGACTGTGCAGTGTGCAGTCGAGTCGAGTACAGTACTCAGTACGACTGCAGATGTATGGCAGATCTACGAGTACGAGTCTAGAAAAAGGTCAAAAATCGGATGCGCATACCGTATTTTTCCGGTTGTAAGTCGACCTTTTACGACTTAAAATAGAAGGAGAAAGGGTGGGGGTCGACTTACAACCGGGATTCGACTTATAACCGGGAACTATCAGAATCTTACAAAAAAAATGACCTGCACTGCATGCACGAGTGCACTATGTGTACACATTTTTCCAGTTTATTGGTCTTTTGAAGGATTGGGATGTTATAACCTCAATTAAGGAATGTTTACATGATTTGTTGATGTGTTAATAGCAGGAAGTGGTTAATAGTGCTTCTTTGGGTGAAAACTTTAAAACGCAGAATTGAGACCTCCGGATACGGGGGTCGACCTATAACCGGGGTCGACTTACAACCGGTAAAATACGGTATGCATCGATGGATCCTGATTTTTTTAGTACGGTTTCGCACGTTCCGGACGGACCACACTTTTCGAAAAGCGGTACGGCCATGGTCGTACCAGTCGTAGCGGGTGCTACACCCCTGCCGGTGATAGAGTAGAGTGTGATTATACGTGAGACTGCATGCTAGGCTGGCCCCCTGCAACCAGTACCTCATGGTTGTACTCGCACAAACTGAATTGCAACTACAGTCATACCTCATTTATCCGGGCGGTCCAGGACCAGGCAGTGCCTGTAACTTTGAAATGTCCGTAAGTCCGAATGATATTCGTTTTATGGTGAAAAAAGGAGGACAAAATGTTCCGAGTTATGACTAACTGTCCACCAACGTAACCAGATCTTATACAGTCCTTGTCAGTTTTGTGCCATTTTGTCGCACTCGCTGACTGTATACGATCTGGTTACGTTGGTGAACAGTTAGTCATAACTCGTAACATTTTGTCCTCCTTTTTTCACCATAATTTAATTGGCTCACCATCCGAGATATTCGTTTTGATGGGGAAAAACCATAGATATGGAGTGCGGCATTACTATTTCCACAAAAGTGACAAAAGAGTAGTAATATGCTCGGACGTCTCTTATCCGGGCACCTTGGGACCGGGCACTGCCCGTATCTCAGATTTTCCCATTATCTCAGGATAACTCATCTACCATGGATCATATCATCTTTGAATAAGTTTATTTGGCAAGTATTGCACATGTTCAGGATTCAAAAGGAACCCATTGATAACAATGTGTGGATTACATAGGTTGGCAGTGAAAAATAGGCACTTCCACCTATGGAAAAAAGTTAAACACTCCCAAATTCGAAGCATTTTTGCCATAGGAACTCAAGCTGAAGGTGCCTGGTAGAGAGACGTGCCCGTATCTGAGGCGTCCGGATAAGAGGCGTTTGAGTGTATTTCCACTGAAACTCTCCCAAAGGGTGTCCGGTAGACCGAAGTGCCCATTCCTTCGAGGTCCGGATAGCCGAGGTATGAGTGTACTAACATCATTTCACTGTGTTGCACCATTCATCCAACGCCAACGTGTCAGAATCAAATAACTTTCTCTACTTTGCACTGATCTCTAAAGGTCTCCTGGCTAGCATCAAGTCAATTTCAAGTTTCAAAAACAAAATAATTCCCGGCCCCTCACCATCTGCGTCCTCGGACTTGGCGGGGTTCCTTCCATTGCGACTGCGCTGATACCGCCGTGGTCCAGGCTTCTTGCACGCGATTATGACAGTCAGCACCGGGAGGATGTAGTGGTCGAAGAAATCCACAAACAAGAAGTCCACCATGTTGGCAAAGCCCTGCATGGGAATGGCGCGGAGGACGATGAAGACGAAGCCGCAGCTGCCGACACTCCACGCCATTATGACGCCGATGGCTCCAAGCTGCACGTACAGGGAGCCAAGCATGCAGACAAACAATGTTAGATGGAGTCATTGCTTCAACGTATACAAGTTTAATTAACTCCACTATGCACACTGCCCCTGCTCTAACTATGCTAACGTTTTGAGCAGCAACGGCTGGCAGTCGCACACCTAAACTCGTAGGTGCAATGAATGGCATACACGACATTAGGCCTAGGCCTAGACGTGACATGCATCTTGTAGCAGCCGTTATTGTATTGAAAAAAAGATTTAGAATTGGCGGAACAGCCTCTTCCAGGCGAATACACTAATGATGGCATGCTCGAGGGAATCGAAGTGCATGTTGAATTGTGACATGTGGCTGTGCCTAAACCAGATTTGACCTTTCAAAGATGAAGTTGAACGAAGGGTTCAAGAACATAACCAGTACGTAACTAAATGCTGGTTAACCCCTTTAGTGCCAAGGGGTGAGAAAAAGTATAACTCAAATTTTCATAGCTCTGTTCAAAGATTTTTAGAGCTCAACAGTCATCTTACCTGATAGAGGAAAACCATCCATGCATCATCTACTGTGTCGGGTAGGCGGATCTCCAAGCACTGGCATAGGTTCTCATAGGTCTGGCGAATAAGATTGGCTTGTCCAAGAATACCTGCAGGCAGCAGCAACAGCAGCAGCAGCAGCAGCAGCAGCAGCAGCAGCAGTAGCAGGACCACCACCAGCAACAGCAGTAGCAGAAACAGCAGCAACAATCCCAAAAGGAGGTCATGTAGATTGGGTTATATGTTGGTCAATTTACTCAATCTGCGGACAGAACTGTTTCGTCCTTTGTGGACTAATCAGCGCAGCATAGAGGAAATGAGGCCGAACCTGGTAGCAATGAAAAATAAAATTTCCAAAGCCAGATTTAAACCAGGCCCGGACGTACCTTGCCAGAGTGCTCAAACTGACAAGTCAGTGAGCTCAAGTCAGTGAGCTCTCTCTTTCTCTATAATTATATAGACAATGCCAAAGGAAACCACTTCATTTACCCACGAATCTTTCTTCACGAATCTTTCTAGCAAAAACCCTAAACACTGGTTTATCAGGCAACGGCCTTGCAGCTTGGGCTACCGCCATTGGAGAATCGGTATCCGTAAATATAGCTATCCATTCTATTTCCCCTGGAATTGGCCACAACAGCTCTTGGAGGTTAACATCACACACTCCAGTCTGTGTTCGGCTGTACTAATAACTCTGTTATGTGTAGGTTATTGCCTCTTGTAAATTGTACTATTTTTGCATTGTTTTTGCTTACTGCCATGGCTGGCTATCGTCCCCCCCCCCCTCCCCCCCCTCCATATTAGCCTATATTCCCTGGCCACGGGAAGGTGAAATAAATATATACAAAAATAAAAATTAATACTGAGTGTTCAGGATGCTAGACTTGGGTTAGATTTCTGGCCAATTTTCTCAAAATCAGAGTTAAGCATTCATCCCAGGTGATACATGTACGGTGTTACGTGACAAGTGCGAGTCCCGCGGTAGTCAATGATTTGCACAGACTCTGCTACCGTCATTCAAGTTAGCCACTGCGGCATGAAGTTCCCCGTCCTTATCTACACACACTAATTCCCACATGCCACACTCACTCACCTACACACAGAAATCCCCACACATCACGCTCCCTCACCCACACAAAGTAATCCCCACATGCCACACTCCCTCACCCACACAAAGTAATCCCCACATGCCACACTCCCTCACCCACACACAGTAATCCCCACATGCCACACTCACCCACACACAGTAATCCCCACATGCCACACTCACCTACACACAGTAATCCCCACATATCGCGCTCACTCACCTACACACAGTAATCCCCACATGCCACACATGCCATGGACCGGGAACACACGGGCCGTGTCGTTGATCTTCCAACGGAACTCGGCGTGTGCTCCGAGGTGATAAAACAGAGTGGCCCCAATGCCAACAACGATTGCCTGTGCATACATCAAAGCAGAAAGAGAACATTTACAGCATGCAATACTTATAGTCTTTCACAGGAAAAGTAAAATGAATGGCACGTGTGACAAACGATTTTCAGCACGCAAGCAGCTATCCATTTCAATGTTTTATTATCCATTTCTGTGTTGAGTGCTAACAAGCAGAAGCAGAGAAGTACAAGCAATGAAAAAATGCAGAGGGGGGGGGGGGGGGGGGGAGCGGGAGGTGGCTAGCGCATAAATGGAGGAGCCATCCTCGCCTGAACAAAGGTCTTGGGGTCAGCAGATAGTCTACGCATCGATGGGAGAGAGAGAGAGAGAGAGAGAGAGAGAGAGAGAGAGAGAGAGAGAGCGAGAGCGAGAGAGAACAAGAGAGAGTGAGAGAGAGAGTGTGTGAGAGAGAGAGGAAGGAAGGGGGGGGGGGGGCAGAACACAGTAGGGCTGAAGAAAAAAGTCTCTCCGACAGCTGCTCCAAGGCCGGGCTTGGAACGATGATACAATTGCTGGTGAAAAGCCAATGTCACTGACGGAGACATGTAGACCACTGGCTGGCTGATCTCGTCAACCTGAACAAGGATCATCCTACTGGTCCTATGGCAATGGCCACCTGTTCCATTTGCAACCATTGTTGTGATCACAACCCGTCAAACAAACTCTCTCTGATTGCCAAGTTTTTTTCCAGCAAATGGCCCGCCCAGCGCTGACACCTTGGACTCAATGTGAACTTCCCTTCTAGGGCCTTTCGGCCCAGGATCGGCACACATATTCTAAGGCCTTATTCCCCTGGGTCTGCACAAATATTCTAAGGCTTTATGCCTCTGGGGTCCGTACACATATTCTAAGGCCTTATGTCCCAGGGGTCGGCACACATATTCTAAGGCTTAACGTCCCGGGGGTTGGTACACATGGGAAACATACCCGTGGAGAGTCAATGTACGGGCACACGCCTGTGATGGCCACCAGTGAACCGAGAATGCAGTTGGCAATCTCGTTGGTGTTGATGAATCGGCTGCGTGACCTGAGCTGCGCGAACAGTGCTATCAGGATGCCGCATATGCCGCCGAAGCAGCCCGAGACCACCATGTTGAGTGCAATGCGTCCCAGAATGGAGTGGTGAACCTGTGACAACACATCAAACGGACAAACAAACAAACAAACAAAGCACTCGCCGAACGGTATAGATTCTGGTTGTACTAATCAGAACACATCACAATGGTCAAGGTTCCGCCACAATCCCACTTACAGCAGTACACCTACCACATCTGGCAGGGCAGGTAGTGGCAAGGATTTCTAAACTGGATTTTTTCATCACACATAATCAGGTACACGACCAACCGGTGGTGGTGGTCCAATCTCATGGAGACGTTTACCAGCTGAGCCGGAGTCGGCCACTGCCCGACAGTACGCACAACGCAATGCAAACTCGCATATCCGCCAAAATTGGGACCAGCCAGAGTGCACATGTGACACTCGAACTTCAGTACAACGTACCTGGGATAGTACATACTATGGGATATAAAGTACTATTTTTACGACCCTGCACTGTACCATACCAGTCATTTGACCTAGGCTATAAAGTACATATTTTACGACTCTTGACGAGGTACGTAATACTGAAGTTTCGTTGTAACTGATACCAAATGTTCACATGGTCTGGACCATACATTGTGCAGTCGGGATGCTGGCCTAAACTTGTGTATCAACGTCTACATTATTTTTAAAAGAGGGTTGGGACATGAGTGATTCAAACATCACCATTCTTGGCAGAAGTGTAGAGCGCATAATGTTCAGCGTGTTTGATCGTGATTTCACAGACTATAGCCATCTTTGTTTGGAATTGGGACACCTGCAACCGTTTAGTTCAACCGCCACCACATACTTTGCTTCAGACTGCTGAAGTGCATCAGGAGGAGGCCCAGGGGCAATCGTAGGATCTGGTGTGTGTGTGTGTGTGTGTGTGTGTGTGTGTGTGTGTGTGTGTGTGTGTGTATGTATACTTCAAACTCCGTATACATACCTGTTAACCATGGACTGCTTCTGGCTAGATTAACTCTTGTGTAATCAATGGCCCGGTGCAAGTGCCGGTGCTATTGAAGCTTTTATCAGATCCACTCTGATTTAGCCACTCACCTAGTAGCAAGTATTACCTTCACTGGGGGCAGGGGTAACTGCAGTTGGATCCCGGGACGGATACCCTGATGCCGTCAATCCTTTTTCTGCACCTTGTCCTCACCCACTTACTGAGGTGTGGTGAGCCCATAAGTGGGGTTATTTTCAAGTCCACCCAGAGTTTTGGGGATTTTAGGGGGTGTCGGCCGTTGGGCGATTCAATAACCAATTGAGTCATCTTTCCAAGATTCCTTTCGAGTCTCTCTCCCCTCTTCCGGGGGGAATCACGTGACCAGTTTTGGCAGTGAGAAACAAGTACAAGTACAGGTGTGTGTGTGTGTGTTTGCATGCATGTGTGTGCGTGTGTGTGGCTCACACATAGTTATGATATGTGAAGCGGCATGGGTTATAGAGACCACGCACGTGGGGCATTTCGAGGGACGGGGAGGGAGAGGGGGGGGGGTTCTCAAGCACCAAAGCCCCCCCCCCCCCCTGCCACCACCCCAGAGGACGCTACTGAACCTTACCTTTCCAGACACGCTCTCCGTCGTACCACAGTTGAACGCAAAGAAGGTCATCCACAGAATCAGCACACCAAGAGCAGCAAACTCCATGTGCTCTCCAGAAGAGTCCTGTACACACATGGACACATGCATGTTGAGTACATTTACCATCAGGAGAGGGTCTTGTTCAGATATTCTCACCTGATCCAAGGGGTAAATCTTCTAAAAAGGATCCAAGTGCATGTTGCGCAGCTGCTGCTGCCTCACCTCTCCCCCCAATACACACACACACACACACACACACACACACACACACACACACACACACACACACACACACACACACACACACACACACACACACACATACACACACACACACACACACACACACACACACACACACACACACACTCACCCCTATGCACACACCCCACCCCCGTACATGCACACAACCACATACTGTACATGCACTGGCTCATTGCAGCGTGGACTAGCAATCTTACTCTGGGGTACATCCAGTCCAGGAAATCATCTTCTTCGTCAATCCGCGTGTCCGCATTTGTATGTCGTGTTTCAACCGAGCTATTGATGGACACACCACCTGCCACCTACACAACAACAATAGCACGTACACGTATACAAAGAAACCCCAGTGTTCAAGACCAACTTCTTCAATACTCCGCCATGCAACATTAAAAGGGATCAGCCTTTCCTCAGCTAAGTCAAGCCTAAAAGAAATACAGAGGTACGAGGTGATTCGTAATTTTTTAACATTGAGTCATTTCTTAACAAATCGGTAAAATATCTCATTGCCAGCGCATGCAAAAAGTCATGTCAAATTTCTTTTTACCATTGCCATTGCCAATGTTCTTACAAGTTCGCCTCCAAAATTGAGACTGATATTCCTTCAGGAAGTGACATTGCAAGAGCTTTCAGTCTGCATGTGCGCGATGTTTACGGTAAAATAGAGTATAAGAGAGTCATAGCCGCTGGTTTCAACCTCCAGTGACAACACATTTAGCTGAAGAGGAAGCATATGATGGCTACATACTGGAAACGACGCCTGGGAAGGAGAAATGTCGGTGTGTTGGCCCTGGTATTGGCCAAACATTGGCAATTACTGAATTTACTCACAGATGTTGATCACAATTGCATATGAAATCAGGGTGATACATCTATTGCTATGCAAGCTTGAATGGCTTGAATTTGGATGAACATATTCTTGATCCAGTCTTTCTGGACCATCCTGGACGCGTAGGGTCTCTTTCGTTTGAAAACTGACTTGAAAATGTGGTGCTAAGGCCTATTTTACCATGATGTTAAGAAATGACCACAACAAATAATATGCAGAAAAATTGCCATTTTCAACTGCCCCCTGCTTCCCAACACCAAGGATTATGTGAATGAACAACCCACCATTGCAATCTAAGGATATCAGTATTACATTTTTAGGGGAAGAAATGGAAAGGTTCGCACCTCGAACCCTACGGAAGGCTATTTTACTTTCGTGTTAAATAATGACGAATCACCTCGTACCCAAGTCAAACCTCACGCATGCACTTCCAAGTAGGCAAACGTTAGAGTTTGCACTTGTTTGTACTAAAACCGTCCGAGGGATTTAGCGACAAGACGCTTCTGACTGTTTCTCACACGCTGACTTACACGGGGACATAATGACCTAGAGTGCAAAACAATCCCTATCGTTTATCACCGAACCTTAGAGAACCATAGTTAGGTACAGTGTGTGTTCGGTACCATGTATTTCATGTACCGAATATGGTGCGCAATCGGGATTCACGCCTGAACTCGAGCATCCAAAGATTTGTCATGCTATACAGTTTGCGAAGATTGCATCAGGATGTGTAGCTATAGAAGTGAATAATAATGATATCAATAGAACACAACCAGTCTAGGTTATCTCTGCCTGAGGAGCTACGGAATCACCTAAGTATTAGACACTGCAAATATATGTATATAGAAACGATCATGACCTGGACCAACATGATTATACATGTACAGTGTTGCTTAATGAAATCCAGTCGCGTCACTTAAGTACGCGCCGAGCCGGTTGCACAGCCGTAGACCTGCAAACACTGGGCTGCGAAATGATGCAAGGCGCAAACTTGAGTGACACGACTGGATTTCATTGAGCAGCACTGCATGTGGTCAAGGATTATGCACCTTGGCATTCTCATCGGTACTACTGCATAACATGTAATTTTAGGTGCATTTAAATAGGTCGCTGACACCGAAATTTAAATTTTAAAATTCGGTGTCAGGGACCTACCGGGTTTCAGGTGTTATGTAGAAGTAGGTGATGAGCATTCTCTTAACCTACAGTGCATACTCTAGTGCCTTTTAGGTGTAATCAAAATTTACGTGCCTGGTTTCTCTACCGAAAATACCGAAATTAAAGTTACACCGAAAATAACGTGTTATACACAGAATACACGTACCACTACGTCGGCTGGTAGATACGCCACGCTGGGTCCGGTCTGCTGTAGCGATGGGTCAGCGCCGGGTGACGGTGTATTCGCACTCAACGTGCTCATTTCCATGGGGCCGCCGCTGGTGCGCGAGCTGCCCTTTGATCCCCGCTTGATGCTAGACCGCGACGCGGCCGAGACACCACTGGCGTTGAAGTTGTTACTGACCCGGTATTCGCCGTGTTCATTGCGTTCAACCTGAAAGAAAAAATGAAAAACAAATGCACGGGTTCGAGTACAGGGCGGGTCAAGAACCACCATTCGGCTTCCGCGGGACGCCACCATCGCATGATCAGGCATCAGATGCAGCCTAAATGGTGAGGGGAGGATAGATCTGATCCACCAACCTAAGGCCAAAGGCGAAAACCCCAAAAACTGAAAGGAAAGCAATGCCAAAAGCGGTTTCAAGAAACTACATCGACGTGCAGCTGATTTTCCACCAGACTTAAAAAAAAACTTCATGTCTTAGTCTAGAGAACATAATGATCTCCACTTCATTTATTTGTGCTCCGCTGACGAGCAAATAGAGTAAACCCGGGGAACAACGTGAATGCATCAACACCCTGAATTTTGAGTCAGTGAAAATCTTAACGATCAAAAAAGGTGCACCTCGCTCTTAAAATCGCTATCATTAAATATATGCTGGGCAATCATTCTACATAACCAAACATCTACACGTCATGATTATATAGAACGAGTGACACGCAGCATAATATTTTACTCATTGGGATTAAAAAAATGTTGTCTTCTCGTCGACTGTTCCCGACTCTTACCTTGGCATTTTTCTTGTTGGCTTTGTGAAGATCTAGCTTGCAGAGGAGAGCCAGAACCAGGCCGCCAAACCCACCAAGCATGTGCACAACGCCGGAGCCGGCAAAGTCGAAGAACACAATGTTGTCGTTGGGCCCCGGGAACGACCGTTGGTAATCAAACTGCCCAGTCTCACGATTCAGTGTGCCATTACAGAACCTAACCAGCAACAACATAATATTACAGTCAACTTGGCTAATAACGACTGCGGATATAACGACAATTCGCGAATAGCGACAGAATTTCCATGCCCAGAGCAAAGTCCCATCCCACTGTACACATATACATGTAATGAGACTTCGGATATAAGGACACTTCGCGAATAAGGACACTTTTCTGATGCCCCGCCGAGTGTCGTTATACGCAAAGTTGCCTGTATGCACAAGTACAGATCAATTGAATAGTGAACACAGCGATTGTCTTGCCGAAAAGTCAACAATTCTCGTTTTTCACAGCTGGTTCAAATCAGTATTAGTACGAAGTCTTTTGTGGTCCACTTTCATTACAATAGCACACACAGAAGTCTCTGCTGTGAGCACAGAACCTCATATGATGGAATACTGGCACGTGCATGTGTGCCCATGCACAAATATGTGTGTGTGTGTGTGTGTGTGTGTGTGTGTGTGTGTGTGTACGCTGGTGCACATGCACAGCCACACAAGCACAGCCACACAAGCACACACACACACACGCGTGCGCACCCCCCCCCCCCCACACACACATGCATATACACCCACCCACACACGCGTACAAGCACGTGCAAACACACACACCCAAACACACACACACACCCAAACAAACACACACACACACACCATTGGACGCCTATCGCCGGAGGCGATGATAGCGATGCTACAGCAGAAGCCATAGCAGCTTGTGCTGGGATTGCACCATTCAACAGCTTGCAAGGCTGAAGAATTGACCGCCACTATTCAGCCTGGTCTACACCACACAGCTATGAAGTGGCTTTTTCTGGCCAGTGAATCCCTACTTTTGGTCTTTTTATTTTTTTTCCCGCACACACATCACACCACATATTCTCGCATGCACTGGCTGTTGGTAACCACCCAGGAGAATGAAAGAAAAGTCAGGAAGAGTCTGAGAAAGAGAAGAAAGACGTGACACACACACACACACACACAGACGCACACACACACACACACACACACACACACACACACACACACACACACACACACACACACACACACACAAACACACACACACACACGCAGTCAGACAGAGCCATACCTTACCTATACGGGGAAAAGGCTCCGACAGGACTCCACAATAAACGTGCTATGAACGGATGGATAAAGGCACTGATCAGGAATGCGTACAGGAACAGCGCCAGCATGCGTAACTTCCGTTTCTCCCCGACAAGCGTGCCGTGAAGAATTGTAGCGGTGTTGCTGGCAAATGTGAACCTGAAGAACCACTCGATGAAGTCCTGCAGTGAAAGCAAGTACACACACCATGTACCATGTATACGCCCGTCGCAAGAGAAGCACGCAAATTGTGCAAATGCACTGGATATGCACCCACAGATTTTCTCTTTATAGCAACGATAGCGGATCTGATTCTGATTGAAACAGATCAAGACAAGCGCCAGATAACTGTCTAATCCACACAGCTGGCGAAGCCATGTGAATCGACCCCCTAATGCACACCTGGTCTACACCACATGCACGCGCGCACACACAAACACACACACACACGCACGCACACACACTGTATACTGCGAAAGGTGTGGAATGCCCTGCTCTGCACTCGGTAAATTGGGAATAGCTTCAGTCAAAATCTAAGTAGAAGATTGATCGGGCGTCAGAGCTGAATTACAGTCAACTTCGCTTATAACGACACTCGGCGGGGCATCAAAAAGGTGTCCTTATTCGCGAAGTGTCGTTATACCCGAAGTCTCATTATATGTATTACAGTTGGATGGGACTTTGCTCTGGGCATGGAAATTCTGTCGTTACTCACGAATTGTCGTTATTTCCGCAGTCATTATTAGCGAAGTTGACTGTGATTGGATGGTTTTTTTGCATAATTTTGAGATGCTCAGTCTTACATTTTCTTCAGCCAAGACTGCTTTATTTGCTCCGGCTGCTCCTGACACGGCGTATCCAAACAGATAGAAGCCAATTGCGCTGGCACAGGTGTCCAGGTACTTGGCCAGGACCACACGGCGAGTGGCCTGGTGGTTATCTGAGACGAATGCAACCTGCACACAGAGATAGCAACGTGGAGTACACACCAAGTACATAAAAACCTGTAACTAAAGACCACCGTGACTAGCGACCAGCCTGCTACTACAGTAAAACCTGTAACTAAAGACCACCGTGACTAGCGACTAGCCTGCTACTACTGGCCACTTTGCCAGGCACGGACTATCTCACATTCATATACGGTTGTGCGGTGCAAACCTCTAACTAAGGACCACCTGCCACTGAAGACCGCTTTCTCTGGCCCCAAGAGGTGGTCGTAAGTCACAGGCTTTACTGTACACACCAAGCACACGGATTGAAACCAAGGTACGGTCAACCTACCCCTTTTAACGCTAACCCCCTTAACGGCATCAATCCTTATAACGATATTTCTTGGTCTGAAGCAAATATTGTTATAAGGGTAAGTTGTCTGTAGTAGGAGGCCGGGAGGGTGGGACTCCCAGGGTTACTGATTGCGTTTTCAAGAAGGATTTCAGCATTTTCAGCTGCCACCCACCCTTACATCACCTGTTCATCATCCTGTCAGCAAAACATGGAATTCAAACATCATCACCATTATTCGACTGAGAGAGAGAGAGAGGAAGGATGTCAGGATTCATTATTTTCAAAATGAAAACAAACACAACCCGCACGCACACCAAACTGTTCATTTCCAAAATGCAGCTGGTAATTGTGGAGGGCCACGTGTGAGGTGAAAATTTGAGTTTGACGCTCTAGAGACAACTAGTCCACACGGTTGAACATTGCCTGAAAGAGACACCACTGCAACGGTACGTTCATTTCCTGGGAGTAACAAACATCATTTATTTATTTATTTATTTCACCTTCCCGTGGCCAGAGAATATAGGCTAATATGGAGGGGGGGGGGGGGGCAGTGGCCATCATGCAACAAGGCATGCCATATACATTTCTAGTACAGGGATCGTTAGCTAGCTTTCCGAACTAACTGCATGGGTGGTAGACAAAGAGCATTTCATTATGAGCCCTGCGGGACAGCCAATAGCAAATTTACATTGATGCACTCGCTCCTGTACTTAGATCGGCTCGGAAACAGCCAAAACGGCTCGGACCACAAAACTAAACTTGGGTTATTTTGGTACTATGAACTTGCAAATGCCACTGAATTGGAAAATTTTACGTGCTAGCAATGGAAAACTTACTTCAGCAAAATTCGACATACCTCGACAAAGAGAAAGCCAGTTTTCATGAAGAATATGAGAATGGAAGCAGAGATGACCCAGGTAGCGCTGGCGTCGGAGTACTTGTCCGAATAGCGGATGCCGTCGGGGCCCTTGAAGATGCTGAACTCTGGGCAGAACTGCGTCTTGTTGAACCCATTCGGGACTAGGAAGACTTCAGGCAGGTCTGCCATCACCAGTTACTGTTCCAATGTAAAACTGCAGCAAATAATGCGAAATAGGACAATATACTGTTTTTCTGGAGTACGTGTACAAGCCGAACTTTAAATACCAGCAACTTACCCCAAAAATGGTCGGTGCTACTTACAGTCCATTTCAAAAATATATACGCATGGTATTTTTGAAATATTTCAAATTTGGCTGGATCTTGTTGATCATTTTTTTCGGAATTTTGCTTAGGTCCTTCCACCTATTACTCTCATATAGATTTTTAGAAGTGATCAGATAACAAATGCCCAATTTCGAAATTTTTATGCACAGCGTGATCACAGATTTTATGTGGCATAGGTGCTGGCCTAACGTTTTTAAAAAAAATCACGCATCTATATTTTTGAAATGGACTGTAGTATACTGAAATGGTCAAATTAACTGTGACAAACAGAGTAGATGTCTGTATTTTGTATAGGGGTGAAACAATTATACCGAATACTCGAGCACTCGCTCGTTTTTTTCCCAAAATAATCGTACTCGGAATAAATCAGAGTTCTCGTTCATACATGGTACATGCATTTACCACAGAAATCAACAGTTTCAGAGCAGCAGGCGGCAGATATTGATGTGCAGACTGCGTGGTGAACATTTGTTCACGAGAGAGCCCAAATGACCCACCAACCAATATACCCAAGAAAAATGACTGCCACTCGGTTCAATCAGGGTTGTATCATGTGATTTTAAGGCCCTTGGTGTGCAATTTATAGGAGATGAAGAATACTCGAATACTCGAATATTGGATCGGAGAAAATCAAAGCACTCGAACTCGGTATCTCAGTGCCAACTTTCACCCCTAATTTTGTAACAAAAATCTGGGTGCGGCTTATACTCCGGAAAATACTGTACACAAGTCTGGGGGAGAAAAATCTGAAGAAGAAAATTGACTGCCACCACCAGGACTCGAGCCGGGGACTCTCGCTTATGGCCATCGATGCTCTACCAGTAAGCAGTTATATACTCGTAGCAATCCTGCTATTGCACACTGTGACAGGCCCTATCAAATTGAACCGTTGACCGTGAAATTTGAATATGGCCATGCCAACACAGATGCAGTGCGAAACAAAGATCCTGAGAAGTGCTTGGTTTCAAGACACACACACACACCTCCATATTCTTATAAGGTACAGGTGAAGAGGTGACTGGATGGAATAATTATCAATAAAATTTCAGTTTTCATTGCGCTGACTGACCAAGACTTGGCGAGGACGTTCACGGCCGCTGCTAAAAGAAATTGCTCTTCGTTTGGGAAGTCGATGCACTCCTCATTGCGCGCTACGGCAGTGTCTGACCTCATCAAGATACCCCCCCCCCCCACACACACACAGGCTTGCTTGACCAGCGAGGAGTCTGATCATCCCGGGGAACAAGCTGTGTGGCCAGGCAGAGGAGGAGAAAGCCATTGCCAATATTGTGCGGAAATTCCCAATCCAAAGTGGCAACAAGCGGTAACATGATGGAGACGCTAGCCAGAAAATAGCTGTTCCAAAATGTCAGAATAACCTGTAGTTTTTCCAAGGAGCTGGAGCTCGTATCGTGGCCAAGTTCTCACACGGCCAAACTCTGAACACTATCCATACCATTATGCATTCACGGTCACACGAAACACTCTGCGGAGACCCGACCGAATGTGCTCCAGCGCCTCCGGAGTGGCAACCAGACAGGCACCAACGCCCTCACCCTCTTTTCCCACTCCGGGGTCCAGAAGGATTCTGATCTTTATGCTGCCTCATCACCCTGTGTCTTCGCTGCCACTTCCACTTCGTTCGCATCGTTTCCAACTTCCAGATTGGCATCTCGAGTTCAACAGCTCATCAGGTGGCAGAGTGGGGTGCACCCTTTAGCACAGCGGTGACCATAGCTTACTGTAGAAATTTACCTCAGTGGACAGCCAGTCGCTGGCGTTCACATAGGATTCCCACGAGACAAGCTTGCCCACAGACAGTCCAATGGAACAGTCTCGCCCGGATATGGGCACAACCGAAGTACAGACATTGGTCACCAGGACCACCGTTTCATTTTCCCAGAAAGAAGTGCAAGAGAAAGTTCCCTTGGGACGTACATTACACCGAGCTCAAAGCATGCGCAATATGGGAAAGTCCCTTTTTGGGGCTGTCATTTTCAGTCTCACTGAGCTCAAAGCTCCCCCTCCCCACACACACACAATCTTTTCACCTCGTGAGCGACGTCAGTAACAATTACTGTAGTACTTTAGATGGTCCCTAATTCAGTAATTGATAAACCTTATAGTTATAGATGAAGAAGTGCACTTGCATCACACTGTGTAGTACTAATGAGAACGCAGCTGTGACTGTAGACTTGCAACCTACTGCTAGCGTGAGTACAAGTAAATCACATCTTCTGACTTCGTGCATTTCTTGCCGGCATACCACCGAGGAATTCGTGGTGGATGTGCCTACGTACCTGTAACAGTCGCAACTAAGCCGCATTGTATTTACAACAACAGTAAAATAACTATACTCATCAGCTGGAGGTAGCGCGCGCCAATTGCGTACAATCATGTACATTGTGGCTATTTCAGCACAAAACCTACATCGCTGGGAAACAGAGAGAGAGGGTGGCCACGCTCCCGATCTTCTTGTTTATAGACGAGGACCAAATCCGAAATAAAATGTCCAACACCGCATCCTGCTTTCTCAGACAAGCAGTACAGACTACAGTTCACTCGGTAGATATCTACAGGGCAGGTGGTGTACAGTTGCGAGCGGTAGGACGTAAGTCAAGCGTTGCCTCCCACCGCTAGGCGCTAGGCGTTTGCAAAGCTTGTTCAAATTTTCCTTTGGCATAGAAACAATTGCAGGACATACGCACCTGTTTTTCAGGACTAGGATCAGCTTCAACCGCCTTGCTGCGAGTACCACCAATGATTACGTTCCCACAGCAGGCAGCACTTGCTGTTCAAGTAACACCTTCTCACCAGGAAACGGCCGTTGCTGCTCGCTTCGAGTTCCCCTTTACTGGAGAGGCCTTCTGCCCCCGCTCTGCTCCGAAAGGTAAATGAAGCCAAGAGAAAAGTGCCGAATTACAGGGAACCGCTTCATTGGACCGAACAATGCTCCAGTCTCCATTGAAACATTACGGCAATGTGAACTAAATAATTGTGCCGTGTATGTAGCGCGTTGTGAAGGGTGCAACACAAAAATGTCAAATCGGAAATTTTCGGAGCCATTCATCATGCTTGTGGCTCTACTGATAATCATGATAATACTGTGTAGACCTACAGCCGAACCCGCTTGCGCGCTGTACACCATGGTACACGTGTGGAGCTAGCTCGCGAGCGAAAATCTACACACGGATACGGCGCCGGAACACAAGACAATGTCATGTCGACAGCTAGCTACAGCCTTGGCCTTGCACTGCATCTCTGAGACTTGCACACCGCTACTACTTGAGTACTTCAGTACTTGGCGCTAGCGCTGTGGCTTGTAGTTGTACTAAGTAACGTTGTAGGTGGTAAGCTGGTGACTGACTACTGAATAATGGTGGGAAGTGCCAGCCGGATTCTTTTTGAAGGATTCGAAGTCGTTCGACAAGCGCACCTGGCAGATGGCAGGCTCGCCGTTGTCCCCACTCACCACTCTGCATGTACATGTACTGTACATGTACATGATTGTATGTTTGTCACCTGCTACTACTAGCTACTGTGAGATTACAAGTTTTACAACAGTTGAAATAATTGAAGTGGAAGACCGTGGTGGACCTGGTGGTAGTGCGGAGAAGGTGATAAAGAGTATGTACCGAAGAAAAAAGTGAATATACATGTATATATTTTTTTGAGACTCTGTCCGCAGATTGAGTATTTTCAGACTCTGATCGATGGAGAGCCAAGGATTAAAATTTAAAGAAAGGACCAAAATGTGTTACAAAGTCATGTTACAATACACATGGTGATTGTTCTGATGTTAGTTCTGATACAGTACATGTAAGTATGAGTCGTCCATTGCTAGTCATTTGTTTGAGCATCCTGAATGTCGTGCTGTGTTTTCAGACGATTGTTTTTGATTGTGTCACGTGTACGCAGTGCTAGATAATTATAATTGCTGAATGTTTTGGAAGCTGTATACATGTACATGTATATTCACACAAAGAAACCCAACCTTTGCAAACAGAAGCAAATTAGATTCACACTTAGGCTGTTAGGTACCTGTAGGTCGTCAAAAACTTTTTAGTTACATGTATGTCCATTGGTTGTCTCTTGTTGTCGCACCACATGTCACACTTGTTGGGTTTTCTCGCACTTGCACCTTTGTGTCATTATTGCTATGTGTATAGATCACGCATTTTCGCTGTATATTTTAGCTATCTTCTTCTTTGCACTGTTTTATCACCTCCTGACTGTACTAACTTACTCCACTGTTCTTGTTCCTCTCCCATTGCCTGTATTTCACCTGATGAGAAGGCTTGAAAGTATACTCTTGTGAAACCAAAAACTTTCAAAATGTTCGTAAAGAGCCGGAAGTGGGTCCTTTTTCGGAGTATTATCGCATTCTTGTCTCAGAGGAATCTGTTACATGACACTAGTAGATCTACCAGTTACATGTATAAGCAAGATCGTTGTGTAGTCAAAAGGTGCAACAGCTACATGTACATGTATAATGCAGGACAATACTGACTGCCGTGATAGTGACATTCAACGACCTGATGTTAAGCTCCATCACGTCTTGTCTTGAGTGCGCTCACCTTCCCCCTTCCCCTTTCTCATGTTATTTATTAAAATATTAGAACCTTCCAAGTTAGTTTGAGAGCTGTTGGTTTGAGCATCCAAGACGTGCATCCGTCGTTGAATGTCAGTATCACGTGACATCGGTCATGCAGGGCTAGCTGTTGCACCTTCTGACTGCACAATAATTAATTTTGCTTCATGATAACAGTGTTTTTAAGTAGTGTTTTTAGTTACTGTTTTATACACCCAATGTTGTAGACAGCAAGCTGTATAACTATTATGCCAATGTCGTGTGATTGTTGTCGATGGTGGTGGGTGGTGGGGGCAAAACTACTTGCGCTCCCGCTATCCCTGGACCCTGAAAGTCCCCAAACGTAGTGGACGCCTGAAAGCCTCTTCAAATCGTCAATATGAATATGATTTTTTTGGCTTTTTTTGGCGTTTTTTTTAAACAATGCAACACAATCATGATTGTGGAAAGGTCACAACAATAAGAGACAAGATCAAAAGGAAAGCTTTACAATAATAATAATTTTAGAATTGCGATCAACAGAACGAGCTGAACCGACATTTTCACAAAGGCTTTATTGTATTCAAAAAACGAGTGGATACGAAGGCAGTGAAGAACATGGAAGAAAGAAAAAAATGTGATATGGAAGAAATGATGAACAAAAAATTGTACTTCGAACTAGTTTTCGCACAACACTCCTCAGGAAGCTACGTTGTACTAATGAAAAACAATCCAGAAAGATACTAATAAAGAGAAATGGAGTGAGAAGAAACAACACCTATGAAAATGATAATCCTAGCACTAAGGTAATAACAGACCTTAGTGCGAGGATTATCATTTTCATAGGTGTTGTTTCTTCTCACTCCATTTCTCTTTATTAGTATCTTTCTGGATTGTTTTTCATTAGTACAACGTAGCTTCCTGAGGAGTGTTGTGCGAAAACTAGTTCGAAGTACAATTTTTTGTTCATCATTTCTTCCATATCACATTTTTTCTTTCTTCCATGTTCTTCACTGCCTTCGTATCCACTCGTTTTTTGAATACAATAAAGCCTTTGTGAAAATGTCGGTTCAGCTCGTTCTGTTGATCGCAATTCTAAAGCTATTGTCGCCTCGACGCCTATTTAAATAATAATAATAATAAAACGTGGCCTGTAAAATGTGAAGTCACTACAATGTACATGGGCATGAAGTATAAAATGGCAGAAAATGCAGGGTGATTTCGTGCAGATGTTAACGTAACAACGTCGTTAGCAACAAGCTTGGCAAGTACTGTATTATATACATGTACATGTACATGTACAGTCATGTACATGTACATGTACATGTACATGTACATGTACATGTACATGTACATGTACAATCATGTACATGTATGTGCACATACATGTAGAAGGAACTTCACAACTCATGCAAGAGTCGTGTTTCTTGGCTGACTCAGTGAAGCAGGCGGAAACTGTCAGATAGCTTAAGAATAAGAGACTAAGGCCTAGACTGAGCGACAAAGGGTAGGACTGCCCGGCCACCAGTCTGGATTGGAAGCGGACGGAAATATCGATTTTCCTCTTCTGTGGTTGGTCGGATCTATTCAGTTCTAGCCGGAGTTCTAAGTTCAACAGCATCCTTGTGTTGAGGGCGATGGCGTTGCTACGGACACGGAAAGTCGTCCAGGCGCTGCTCTTACTTCCAAGACCAGTATTGGTACTAGTAGCATAGTGCTCCATAGTCCATACTCCACAAACACCTGCTCTTTCCAAGTGCTGTAATCATCAAGCTACATTTTAAGCTAATTTGTTCTGACCCACTCGTGATAAACCGTGGATTGACCCCACATGCTCCATTACAAGCTTACCATAAACGTGCCAAGTACACGGCTTGAGGGTGACTGCGTCCGTCCAGCGTCCGCCAAGGGACGATAACTAACTCATAAGAGACAGCGGAAAAAAGCGCTTGTGTTCAACAGATGAACTCTGGCGCTGGTTGAGTACACCATGCAGCTTTGAGTCCTAGTGTGACAACATAACGCTAATTCAAGATTGCTAATTCTACTTCTAGAAATCTGTGATGACGGCGCCTTCTACATGTAGATTCTACAATGTACATGTACATGTATGATGGAATTTACGATAGATACATGTACATGTACGTGTACGTGTACATGTACATGTACATGTACGTGTACGTGTACGTGTACATGTACATGTACATGTACATGTACGTGTACGTGTATATGTACATGTACGTGTTTTTAAATCCTACACTATACTTCAATACATGTACGTGTATTTGGCTCTTACTTTTCATTTCCACTTTCTTTGTTTGAAATTATGTCTGTATAGTGTATAGAGCTTTTTCAAGGACGCCGTTTCCGCCACCGCCGCGGCGCTCACACCGAGATTGTGGTGAACAGGTCGCATGTCAAAACGCATTGAAAGTATGCGACATGTGACAGGTTCGTCTCCACCGTGTACCAGGGCTTGGAGCGATGCTAAAGCTTGTTCTTTTTCGCCCAAGCCATGGAAGGGCTTCCTGGCAACTGCTCCGACTCAACACGAGTGTCGGACGTCAAGTGGAGCGCCATTCTACCTCTTCTTTCAGCTCCACGGAATCCATTCCCATACAAAGTCACCATGAACTGGGCTTCGCCTGTTCACCAGCGATTCAAATATTTCTCGCACGCCGCGCCAAAAAGTGAAAAAAGTTGGTCCAACCTTGAAAAAGCTCAATAGTAGACTACTGTTTACAAGTTCACACCTTCCACTTCTACATGTAAAATCATGTACATTCATCATGTACATTGTATATTCACTTACAATCTATACTTTCCGCGCTAATACATGTACATGTACATGTACATGTAGCTCCCTTACCCAAGTGCCCATCCTCACGACCATCACGGCAATATTTCAGCGCTGAATCAATACCTACTGGCCACCACCACCACCAAACTATGCTTTAGATTGCCAACTCCCACTAAATATGCGTGTTTTTCTTTCTTTCAAAGAACCACTTAATATGCCAAACATGAGATGCAGCTAGGGGAAGCACGCACAACCTGAATCGTGGCAGTGGTGGTGAGGTTTAGGGAACTCCGTCGACCTAGGGTCTCGACTTCAGCGCCACCTAGACGCACCGTCATAAGTAGGCATATGCGGATAATGCCGGCAGAAAAATTGGCAGAATTCGGTGCCTGTTCTGGTAAGTTTCATGCATGTTTGGTATGTGGATAAAGAAATGGAGCAGAATTCGAGGAATTGCCCGCCATACGGTTTGTTTGGTTCTGCCAATTTCACTGCTTTTCGAGCAGAATCTACCACCTTTTCGAGCATTATCCGCCAATGCCTAGTCATAAGTCACCTGATGATTGCGTTGTGCAAGAAACACAGGCTGAGTTGCGACGAACTCCGCAAACCATCTTTGTGCCTTTTATATGTACATGTATAC